CCATCTGCTACAAACTAATAGTCAGTAGTTTAAATATCAAGTGAAGTACTGAAGTTACTACTTAGTCACATAAAGAGATCCATACTAATACTAATATTATATGCGAAAACATACCTATCTGTTAGATATTTTTTCAAGATTAGACGCCTGTAAGCATTTGATCTGTGATTTGTATCATAAGGATGGATAAAATCAAAGTCACACTTAACAGTTAATAAATAAATAAATAGGCACTATACGAAATAAGTAAAAAATTTATAAATACAGTAATTATTGTAAATTTATGTATTTTCCAGTGGGTGTCAAGTTATATACATAAAGTCATCCACATATAAATAATGTCTCTAGTTGTCGTAATCATGTTATGACTACACTTTTCAATAAGGTAAGGTAATATAGGTATAAATTCTAATTATAGAAATACAAGGAGTAGTCAATATGCTTCTAATAAAGTTATGCATAAAATGTGTTCAGTACTTTAGAGATCAATATTGTAATAGGGAACAGTAATACATAAGAAATAATATTCGTTTGCTGTAATATCATAGAGTATCATTCATTTTATAAGTTAATTAGTCAAGAGCGAGTTTAATTAACGTGGATTATTATTATTACCATAGGAATAGGATTAATTTTCCATTATCATTCATCCATCAATTTACTTGCATTATTTTTACCAATATTAATTTAGAGTGGAATCTATTGACTCGTACACATACAATAATTATGATCTACAAAACTTAATAAAAATGTAGACCACAACTTAGTAGATTTCCAGTTCCATGAAATTACCCTCATAAAATTGCCATTATTTCAAATAATATGTATCTTTATAATTACTCGGCTTTTCTGGAAGATGAATTGCAAAAATTATATCTTGAAAATTTTGAAAGATAATCTATTTAAAGTTTACTTAATAAATAATGCACTTCAATTTAAATTCCTTTGTTAAATCTTAAATCAAAGATTTTTTTTCAATTTATATTTTACTAGCTGTAGTTTAGCTGTACACGTGTACAGCTACTGTACTTCGTCCGCGTGAAATTTTACTTTATTTTTCTAAAACAAAAGTTTTTTCTAAAATAAATGTAGCCTAAGTTACTCCTTATTACATCAGCTACCTGCCAAAAAAAAGTCCCGTTAAAATCGGTTACGCCATTTCAGAGAGTACTCGGAATAAACAGACAGAAAGACAAAAATTGTAAAAAATGTTATTTTGGTGTATATACCGTATTTATATTAATATGCATGTAGTAAAAACCGGTTATTTCAATATTACAAACAGACACTCCAATTTTATTTATATATGTATAGATTATATAACGAAGAATTCAGTGATTATTTCATTATTCTTTTCCTATTCATGTTTACTATATTAACTACACTGTACTTACAAGTAGACGATACCGTCTACTTTGTGTTTATTAGAATTATAATTAAAAATATGAATTTACGTAATTTATAGATATGCGGCATTAATATAAATACAGATGCTGGAATCTTCATTTAAGCATCATAAATGTCTATACGGCACTGCTCTTCTATGCCTTATTTTAATTACAAATGCTTTAGTCTTTAATGGTATGTTTTTATTCGAGTGAATTTGGGCAAACGAAAATAAAACTATTCCAAATAAGAAAACTATTCGCGTGTATAAATAAACGTTTGATTCCCAAACACTTCTTAGTAACGCCCCAACGCATACGTACGTCAAAATAAGCAGGTTGTGAGGAAAAATAAGTTGTTTATACACACGTGGAATTCGTGTGACACGCGGATGAAGTGTCCATGCATGAAGGGACGCGTCTCTGATAAGTAACTTTTCGACGATTGCTAAGAAAAATACTGGAAAAATGCCGTGATTTAAGATAAAATGACAGATGCTGAACCTGCGCTTCTATCTACGTGATCAAGACATATTGATTGGTCGGTACAAAACTGGGTATATTTTTTTATCTTTGGGATACTACATATTTTCCGAGTAGCATTTTGGTATTGAAAAATAATAATTAAGGTATTAAAATGAAATCAATAAAAATATTCATGTAGGTCAAATCAGAATGTTTTTTGAGGTGAGTGAAACTCTCCTTTTATTTTTTTCAAATAAGACTATACAAATTTATAACCAGATATATTCAATATGTTATGCCTCAGTTTAACGATCAATTATCATCAGCGCATTATCAAATAAATGTCACTAATCAAACACTATTCAATCATCAGTAATAACTTGAACGGAACGAAGGGAAGCAATGCAAGCAAAAACCATATCTAGTTGTCCTCAACGCAATTCGCTCTGGAATTTATCACGATGTTTCGTGATAAATTCCTCGAAATTGTCACGATGGGCTAACTAACCTGACCTCATGTTCATATTATCATCATCTACTGGTACGCCGCTAGTGTAAACCGTTAGCGCAGACAGGTACCCCATTCCATTAGCATCATTTAATAAAAAAACTGAAACAGATCAGTACCTACAAGCAGAACACATTCATGCAGTAGCATTAAGTAACGAATAATGTATTTCTCATAGATAAGTATATATTTCGATCTTCGTAGAATAATAGACACATTACGTTATTAGAATAAAGTTGATAACTCGATTCTAAACTCGGCTCTATAAGAAAACTTTTTTATTGGATCCGATCCTTCGGTATCGTGGTTTACATTAGCAGATAACAATGTACCTGTCTATTTCGTTTTGATACCCAATTAATTGATAGTACAATTAGTATATACGTGAATATTTAATCCTTTAATTTACAATCTAGAAATACCTTTTACCTTATAACTTACAATTACAAATAAAAGTCTATTGTATGATTCTATATGCTGACGTGACGTAATAATTTATAAATTTTAACATATTATATATACCTTCATACCAAATTACCTCAGTAGATTACAAATAAATAACATAAAACACAAAAAAACTATTTAGATAATATGTACTTTGAAAAATTCAATGTGAAATAGTCGGTAGTATCGAAATTAATTGAACTGCTCACAAAAATGAGCAGTGCCTATTCACTGAATCCAGCGTAAAGGTAGAAAGATCGAACATAAAATGAACTCGCGCTTCAATTGAACTACTCCGTATTCAATCGGCATTCACTTCATGAAAGACGTGGATTCGTTACCTATTGCAATTTATCTTGTACAATTTACTATTCAAAACGTTAGGTTTTTAGCAGATGTCTATAAAAGTTCTAATCGGATTGAGCATAGTTTTAATAAACTATATTTTAGTTTAAAATGTAAACATATGACTGAAGCAACACATTCTATGAGATGTATTGTTACTGTTACACATATAATAAACAATGAGTATGTGACATTCCTTTTACAGAGATAAAAGAAAGTTATAAGCATCAATTCTGTTGCGGCTTTTAAAAGAAGTGTATGCAAGCAATAGACTCCTATTAATTAAAAGCTACTTTGTTTTTTCCTAACTAGATTTTATTTTATACTTATTAGACTAATTAATTAGAGCAGTCAACATATCAACTGTAATAAAATATTTATAATCAATTTTAAAACTGTATTGATCACTTTAAATAAGCAATATTTTTTTAAGAATAACAGCATAGTTACAAAATAACCAATACTTATTCCCATTTCTATCATAGGAGTAGGTAAATCTTTTAACATAATGAACCAATTTTCCAAATTAAACCGATCATTATAGGAAATTGACTTTCAGAAGTTGCTAACGTCGTCTTAATATAATTACACCGCATTAAAAGAAAATCTTCAGTTGAATTATCACAGAGCACTCTCTAAAATTACTTCAAATTCTGAGAAAGACGCGTTATTATACATTTATTTAATACTGAAATATTAAGTCACTCCATCCACGAGTTATATATTTTAAAAATAGAATATAATAACAACTCTATTTTATATAATAAAATAATTACAATTCGTAATTAGTAATTTAATGTAATATTATTAATAAAATCTAATGGTAACTAATCTAAAAACATAAATGTATTTCGGCTAGACAAAGTGAAAGAAGGAATTAAGTTTTGAACATTTTGGTTTCAGTTGGAATAGGTTCTTTTTATTTTACCTACGGCTACAAACATTTTGACCTTTCCTAACAAAGTTCTTTGTTCCGCACCGCGGGGACTATTTTGACGGCCATTTTCCTTTTTGATACCTGCCTGCACATGCCAATCCTCTCGTCCATCACGTCCGCCAGTCTATTAATCATGCCTGGCGGTGCTACTCGACACCCCTTTGTTGTTTACTTTATCTGATTGTGCTCTGTTCCACTAATCATTGTGTACTGTATTTTGGAGTGAAAAGAAGTAGTGACACGTTGTTAGTCACTTCATCGCTATAAGAATATAACAATATTTTGGTAGAAATATACCATCATTATTAATAAAAAATATTATACCAAATTAAATCAAAAGATTACACCTATCAGCAACTATTACCATTACATCACGTATTGGCTAGATTTGCTAGTCAAGTAGATATTATAATTTGCAAAAGTTTTTAACTAATATGAATAATAAATTTTCAGACATTTTATTAATAAATTGGTCAATAATAATTATTTGGAAATGCAAAGTATTAATAAAACTAAAAACATTCGTATTTACAAAATTTATCCTAATATATTTTTTTTCTAATATGCATCTGGATCAACACCGATGCCGGAATTCAAGTAGACCTTATACCGCATGATATGACATACATCCAATAAAATTTTTAAATTTTCATGGTACTTGTTTTGTATAAAATTCTATAGATATAATGATAATAGAATTATTATTTTATCTGGTAATTGAAGTCAATTGTTCGCAGAACAAACCGCGAAATTAGAGTTTTTCCACAGACATAAATCTTGATCAACTCCACTGCCAGAATTTAAGTGAACTTATACCGCATGACATTTAACTTAAATTCCAGAATATTTTTTCTATGGACGTAATAATAGAACTATTATTTAATCTGTGCTAATTTCAATCATCAATTGTTCACAGAACAAGGCGCGCTCACAATAGTCCGTCGATCATCCAGTCGAAATAAGAGCGAGAGCTGCTCGACGCCCACCGACGAGCAACTCGATCAGCTCGACTTGGACACAGAACACTTGCCCGCCGTCGACACGCCCGATGCCTGTGACAAAGCCGCACTTAGGTAAGACTAGTTATATTTATTTAGAACAAAAGTACAAAGAACTTGTTTGACAACATAGAATTACACAACTTTTACACTAGTCAAAAACAGTAACATGAAATATTTTGTTCGGTATTGAGTTTAATAGAAGGTTAATCAATTCATGTGGAGAATATAAAATATAAACGGTAAAAAAATATCTTCAAAAAAATATTTTAAAAAATTTCAATTTTTCAACAAACGTAAAATGTATACAAACTTTTATAAAATGTATAATTATAATAATTCAATTTGTAAAATGTATATAAACCACTTACAAAATAGAAAAAAAACATTAAAGAAGTCCATTCGTTTAAGATCTACAATTTCTAAGGCCATTAAATATTAGCATTTAAATATACATCGTTTGTAAAGTTCACATTTCGAAAGTATTGAGTCATCACAGTACTGAAAATATGCTGACCCAATTCATTTCGCTATCATTGTTCACTATATTTTATTCATCTCGTTATTTTAACAGCAAATCATAACTTATCTGATAGAAAACACGAAAGCATTTCGAATCAACTTTGTAAATAGATAAAAATCACAAAAGGCCTAAAATTATTCCAAACAACTCGATCCATCGCCCAAAACAATATTACAAGGACTCTTCAATACAAAGGCACATTTTGTGGACAAAAATGTCTAAACGGAACAATGAATACGAATGATATTTTCATTCAATTTTCAATGCAATGAGGTCAATTATCGCGGTTGGTTGCTTACAAATAGGGCTGTCATTTATTTATTATAGGTCTTAAAATCAATAAAAAGGTCAATTCTAATCGTTTCGTATTCATGATTTCTAAGGATTTAACGAAAATATTACTTTACATTATTTGCAAAATAATAATAAAATAATATTAGAATTTAATAATAAAATTAAATGTATTTTGTACGGTTGCAATGCCAAAAAAACTAGTTCAATTAATGAAAAGTATACTGTGACTCCTGTACGCAATAATCACAGTAAATTATTATTTTGGAAACTATTAAAATATTTTAGCGCTTTTTAATACAAGTTGGTTTAAAAGTGCCAAAGTAAAAAAATAAAAGAATATCTTATTATAGGTCGCCAAAAATCAACGGAATGCAGTTAATGGAGAAGAGCAATACTGACTTTATCATGATCGGATTGACTGTGATAAAAGAGTGAAGAGTTCAGATCTGATTTGAATGAATCTGAATCTGAAATCTGAACGAAGTGAGAGATGTGTGTAAAAATGAGCTTGTATTTATTTAGAAGAATGAGGTACTTAGTAGCAACCCTACAAGAGAAAAAGGGAGGAGAATGGAACAATTTCCATTGGAATTAGATTGGAAACCGTTAACTGTTTCGGTTTTATGATCACAGTTTATTATACACTAGATAACAGTTTAGAGTTCTTTAGCAAAATGACAAACACTGAATCGAAATGATCCTCAATACTTTTGGTGTCTTTCAAAAAGTACTAAACAAATTTTACACAGTCTGTCAATATTAGGAAACTGTATTTTATTTAAAATTGCAGTACTTCTCATTTCATATACAGCTACTTGTTTAATTTCATGAAATGGCAAGAATTGGTATTGTACTATACCATATAACATGAGATAATAAATCAAAAAGCATTATTCTGATATTCTGAATGACATAATAATATAAAGAGCTCATATACATTCGGTTTGTGCATTTAAATTATTCAATAAACGTGGGATGAACGATTTTAAAATATATTATAATTTTACAAAAGGTTTATTAGGGACAAAGCAGAATATATTCTAAGCTCTTTTAAGCACTTACATTGGTTTGTGCTCACCCATTTATTTAAGAGCTTTCTCTAAAATTTCCATTCAAAATCTATGGAAATCAGTTGTATAGATGATAAAGCTTTTGAGGAAAACGTACAATCTGCTTATGTTTACAATGTTTTATTTATATGAAAATTTCCAGAAGTTTCCTAAAAATAACTGACCGTTGCTGCATCCCCACAGATTGGTGATTCTTAACCTGATCCGTGTTAGCGGCGAAGATGGCATATGTATCTGTCAGTAAACAAAACATCAGTTTCATTTGTTTTTTTAAGTAAAATCAATACCATTAAATATACATTTCGTACAAACAGACGTTATGTTTAATTTATTAATTTCGTATTAAAATTATTCATGACTAAAATTCCGAAAATAATAAAGGTAAGTAGTAACTCTCTCATACACATATAATTTATGTAATGATGATGATATGCAATTGAGGGATATAGTTACAGATAAATCTGTATATATACTGCTATTATATATTTTTTTAATATCAGTCAGTTCCATTTACATATAAATAATTGAAATAAATCTTTCAAAAAGCATTATTCTATATGAGATAGAAACTCAAGGGCTTTTATATTATATGAATCTTGTGAATTTAAATGTGAAGTAGTGTATATATAAAAACTATGAAATAATTTATTTTCTACTATTATATTTATAGATATATAATAATTATTAATATTTATTCATTTTTAGACTTTTTTAGTCAGTTTGTTAGTATTACAGTATTATTATATGTACCCATATAAATATATGTATATACCAGTATAATATTTTTTCAATATAATCAATTCCTATTCATAAAAAATGATCCATTTAATACTTATAAACCGAAAAAGACGGTAATTGAAGACGACAGCGCTCTTAATAAGTCCCCAGCTGAGAATTCGTGAAAGGATTTTTTCTGAGCTCATTATGAAGCTCTTTTTGATTCTTCAATACGTGTATTTTTAGATATGATATGCTGTAAAAATATACATGCTTAATTTATACGAAGTATGAGGTGGTGTATATGCAGGCTTAAGTCTAGAAAGTTATGAACATAATTCACCTTGCGGGCTTAATACGCAATAATGAGCGCTAACTTTATTGAACTTTATGAGCAAATTTTTCTACTGCATAAGCTTCAACAAAGTTTTCTGTCGTTTTTAGAAATTAATTTCATATACAACAGCAATAGCTTATGTATATATAGCGTGTAAAACACTGTATATACACAAGCTATTCCTGTTGTTTACAATGCATATTAATATTGTTTATATTGTCTGTGTATTTAGACTTTGATGACCACCTATTTCCGTAATCACAAAATTATAATAACTTTTTAAAGAACCTTCTCTTTAATCAGTACACTACTATAAACAACTTTTGTTCATTTAATTTTCAATTTAGTTTTAAAACATTGCTTCAATTAGTGTTTCAATTGCATCCCTATTGTTCTAGTGTACATACCGTATACTAGACCTAATATGAATCTAGTCTATAGACCTTTTTCGATTTTACCTACAGAAATTCTACGCTTTAAATTTACTCACAAAAACTAGAAAATAATAGAAAGATATCCGCGATATTGACGACATTTGATAACTACATATAGTATTTGTATTACAAAAAAGGCATGCATGCCCTTGTCTAGACTTAATGTCGCTAGGGGCTATAATGATTGATATCGTATTTGGTGACTTTGAAGTTTATAGAGTTCATTCATATATCAGTTACTTATAATCCACAATATGTCGCAATTTGAGATAACAGATTTTCAATGCCAATAACTCTTTTAGTGTTATGCTTTTAGAAATATTAATTATACCTGAATATATTATTTTTTTAAAAGCATTTATCATCATCAAGTTACATCTACTTAGAAAGTCTCAGCCTAAAACAAAATTCTAAATAGTATTTAAAATTTACATATAAATTTGTAACACTCTCATGAAATCTATAAGTTTTGTTTGCAATGTCTCCACCAGAAATGTGCTTTACATAATAAGTATAAAAATAATCATTTTTGTTTATAATTATTCAAAACAAATTTCTGCTAAAGCGGTTATTTCACTGAAATACAAATTTTAGAATATTAAAAAACAGAAAAACTATAAACCTTAGTATACTGTTTCCGCGTAATATATGTATATATTATATATATTATTATTATTACATATGTAGCTACAACTAGATATTATTATTTATTCATGTCATCCAAATGAAAGAAGGTGACGGAAAAAGGAGATTTCAATCATTGAGGTGTCTTACATTTGTCTGAACTGTCCAACTGTCAGGGGACGGGTAATATAGATATAAACATGGCGATCGTAAAACTCAATTCCAATCCCACAAAGAAAAATAAAAATAATTATACCCATGTAACAAGAACAGATATACGATTTACCTCTATTTTATTTTGTATTGTGTATCTATTGATTTAATATTTAAAAGGTTCATCGTAATAAAAATCTCATTTAAAAACGGTTATTTTAATGGAACGGGGTGTAAATTCTATTGTCTTTTTCTTCAAAATTTATTACGTTCTGAGTTTTTATTAGTCGTTAAAAGCGAACATTGTTGTGCTTGTACTATGTATTATATTTTTATAGGTTTCCGAATGGCTATTTTCTTTAATTACACCTTTTAATGAGTACATTTGTTTATTTTATTTTTCATTTGTTTTCACTAATTGTAATCGATTCTCTATAATAGATTTTTAAAAACCTACAAATTTACTTCATATAGCATAGAGTAAAATTGTAGGTTATAGTGTCTAAGATTTTGCAATGAAAAAGATGTTTTATTGATGAGATTTTTATTACATTATGAAACTCTGATAATAATATTTAACATCGAGTTTTCTGACGACTGAAATTTACAGTAATAGTTACTAATCATGTCATAGAAAATTCAAGTGACTTGTTTTTAATTCTATACATTTTTCCAGTCACGTGTCCTACATAACGAGTGAATGTAGTGACGCACATACAATTATGCCACTTTAATTCATAATTTTAAATCGTGAAAGGAAACTCACTATTCATATGATTCTACTATTCAGCAATAAACAGTACAGGATAATACTCAATTTACTCTTTTAGCATTTAGCTTGATTCTACTTTTCACATTAAGATCTGAGAGAAAAAAATATCCAGACAGAGAGAGTACTCTCTACTAACAAAGCAGAACAAATTAATGCAATCACAAAGACCAACCGATATAATACTGTGAAAAACTAATAAAGGTATTTATATATCGTGATAGTAGTCTGGATAATATCGATCTAATAGTTAATTTATTAAACTCCATGCATCAATGGCGACACGGAAGAACGGAATTTCAAGATAAGAGTTGATACGCAACTGTACCAAACAAAAATTCAACTTACAAAATACACAAATAATACGGTTAAATTGATTTCCTTTTTTATATGGTTTATAAAAATATTAAAGTTATAGTGCTACAAAATCAATTTATTTCTAATAAAAAATAAATTCGTTTCAATTGCGTTAAAAATCTTATTAATATTATAATCGTGAAAATTTGTGAGTATGGATGAATGTTTATTAATATTATACACGCAAAAAGTACTGAACGGATTTTGATGAAACTACAGTAATATAGCTTATACATCAGAATAACATATAGATTATAAATTTCAAACGGGCCAAGCTGCGGGCACGGCTAGTTAATAATAAACCAACTTAATATAATTGAAAGTCTATGTAGTCATCTCCAGAGATCTCGTTGATATACTGTCTCGATCCATCAATCTAACAGAGTTTATGAAACCTAATAATATTTTGTAAGTCAATTTATGAAAATCATATTATGATGAAAATCTACTAAAAAATAATAATATAGCTATTTTTGCTCACGTAAATGAAATATAAATAGCAAGATACCTTAGTGACACTCGTCTAGAAAATCTAATAAGAAAATTAATAACGTTATCAAAGAACATACTACAGATTAATTATTTTAGGACCTTTAAATTTCAGTTGACTCTAGACTTCAGAGGAATGTATATGAAGTCGTCCGGTTGAATATCTCCATGTTATCTATTTCTGCCACCAAACAGCTTGCTCGCTCTACTCATTGGTTTCTTATTTATTGGGTGTTGAAATCTTAATAATAAAATACTCGTATCACAATGTTAATTACTATACTCCTCCGAATTTTTTTATGAATTTTTATATGCATATTCAGTAGGTCTGAGAATCGACTACTATCAATCTATTTTTCATACCCTAGGTGATAAGGGTTGTCCACTCCTTACATTTATTTTTTTATTTTTAAGGCAATAATTTTTTATATAAGTGTCATTAAAAAATACAGACACCCAGGCTAATTTATATGACAAAACAACATTTGCTGAGTGAGCTAGTATGGCTATAAAATGGGTATCACAACACCTACATATAACATTATGTGTAGAATACCGCGGACATATATTTTCATGTTAATAATTATATCTTAATCCACATAACTTTATTTAAGATGTTCACTGCGAACTTATAATATATGCAAAATTGAGTAACCAATTAATTTTGGAAATATAATCACAACCATACTTAATAACATCTGTTTTGTCCACAGATTACGCTATCTCCTAAGACAATTAAACAGAGGTGAAATTTCAGCGGAAACTCTGCAAAAGAACCTACAATATGCAGCGAAAGTCCTCGAAGCCGTTTACATAGATGAAACCAAGTACGTATATTTTTTTTAATTTAATGAAACTTAAAACAAAATATTTGTGATACAGAATGATTACGCCTTAAAGTGTAATTTATAGGACCAAGATTTTTTTTAGACTAAGATTTTAATATAAAAACGTGTGCAAACTAAGAATGAAATTTTGTAAGCATTGGAGTGTCTATGTTGGAGCCTTTAGAACCAATACCATACAGGATTTAAGAATGTCTTAGTAACAAATACTTAAAGTGCTACATACGTAGAAAAGTAACGTAACCTAGTAGGGCATAACGTAGGGCTGTTTTCTAAAATGTGTATAACGGAATGTGTTTTTTTGATAAATTTGTGATCCCACTATTACAACTCTATATTTCTACGTACCTACCTAATACAACAACCTGAAGCCAATACCAAACCCTTCTAGGATGGATACAGAAAATTCTAAGTTAATATTTATTCACTTTGTAAACCAAATGGAGGCTCGTATCAAAGTGGCTATCGTATGAAATGGAGTTTGTTTGCGGACTCCACGAAAAAATAAAGAGTTTTGTAGGGTGTTGTATCTGAAATTATTACAGTTACTAAAGTTATATGAATAATACTATATAAATACTACTTCCTCTGCCCATATGGTAAATTTATATAATAATAAGGTATATAATAGTAACGTAAGTTGAATATATTTCAACATTTTAATATACAATCGCTCGAAATGTCACTGTTTTTTTGGTATTATAATTTATCGTTTAAATTTGTTTGTTGATCCATTTTGATAATGAATTGGAAACACGACACAAGTGACTTCGTAGCTGTTATAGAGTTACATGCTGCCTGTTGCGTCAGTAGCTTTCAGATATACACAATATAGTATGTACAACGTAAATTGACTTTACACGCATTTGCATACTAGAATATTTTTATGGCAGCATGACGTACTCATTATAAAAATATAGTAAATATGTAATAAAATATTTAATTATAATAAAAATTAAAAAGAACATATTTAATTAAAAAAAATTAAAGATTTAGATTTCCATGGCCAACACGTTTGTATATATAGTGCAACGCATTCTAATTACTAGAGTTTAGTCGAATATTGCATATATTAGCACATGGTGTCCCTGGTTACATTTACTATCAGATGAGTCGTATGGTTCTTTGCCTCCGCTGTGATGCAAAACTGTAAATTGTATTTATTTATATAGACACAGGCGAGATGCGACCGTATGTAGAGGATAAATTGCGCTGTTATGTCATTCGCTGACTTATATTCATACATATATTCATATTAAAATTCTATTTACCTTTTACGGAACAAAAAATAAGCAATAGGTATATTAAGTTCCGACATATCAGCGTAGTCAATATATAATTATCACTAAATATTATTTGTTATTATTTTCTAGTATGCTCTCGTTTTTATATATGCTCTAACTACAGTCATTTTAATATTTCGTGGATATTATCTTCGAATGTATGAGGCGTAATCAATGTCATGTTTCGACTAGACAAGAATTTTTTTTCATAACTTTTATGTTTCAGATGCCTAGCCGTCTGCTATTTACTGTTTATAACGGTGGCCAATTTATTTATAAGCTCACTAAGACCATCAATTTTGTTGTGCCAAAGCCCCTTTAAAAGCTCTCTCATTGCTTTCCCGCAGTACTTATTCGCTCTGTTACCTTTTTCGTTCATTCTAACGTGATGTCGGAGCATTTTTTTCTTTTCTATTTATAAAATACCTGTGTGTATATATTTATTATTATATATTCGCTCTTTATTTCTTCTTTATTTATATTTCTGAGTGATTAATATAATCTGAAGGGCTAATAAATATCTATTCTACAGCGTAATAAATCCAAATGAAACAATAGTTACAAAATCGTATTACATCGTCTAGTCTATTAAAATATCATACTAAATTGTACTCGGTGCAATGGTTAACTAAATAATACCTATTATTAAAAGAGTGTAATAATATTTTATTTTAATGTTCATAAATTTAACAACCTTTATCGTAGACTTTTTAGGACAACTATAATACAAAAAATGAAGACAATCTATCTGAATATATACATGCATAAAAAAATTAAGTAAAGAAAATATCAAGCGATTCCATCCCAAGAATAGCCGTTATGTGGTATGGGATTATTGGACTATATTGGATGAAAGTCGTTAACCTAAATATGACTCCTTGGAAGCGGCTCGAAAATTCCTAAATTTTTGTAAATATTGTGTACGACCTTGATTCTACCGTTTCATTAATATGCTATGCTTTTGCGCCCCATAGCAAAAATATTAATAGGTTGCTTACTATTATGTTGTTGTACAAAATACATACTTTAGCAAAATATGCTTAGCATGTTTAAAATAGGCTTAAAATGGTTAATAAAATATTTTCTACTACTTTCTTATTTTATATCATCACATCACATGTCTAAATAATATAAATATACTAAAATATTTCTAAATTTAAACAAATAACTTTGGATTCATACTAAACTGTGAAATAATAAATAGAAACCATCCTGGGTAAAAACAACAATTTCGTTTATTAACAAATATCAATCGAACAATGATTGATACTTGTTAATAAACAAAATTGTTAAAGGGTGAAACAAGGCAGTCAAATTTCTTTAGTATCTAAATACACTTTATACAAAGTCGTCTACGGTAGCTGTCTCACCTATATCAGCTTCCTAGCAGCTGTTTTGTGTAATATTTTGACGGGTGCGACAGCGAAATTACAGGGTACAGAGCTCTGACGTCTTACACCTCCGGAATGTCAACACATAAGTGGTATCACGAAGTTCACATAATATCATGATAGCCATTGTTCATGTATATACGAGCCGGCTACCACTGATCAACGGCTGAGTCGGCAGCTTGTTTACCATTCCAGTCGCGTAAAAAGATATGAACTTATATTTTTATATTCCAATATAATACTAGGATCTTAAGGTTTAGTCAACAATTTATTCGTCGCATTGTATAAAATATACTACAAGGCTTGCTCTTATGTTGTCACGAGTATATTTTAATTCAACTTGAGTTGATTCAAATAGAGACAGAATAGATAGAGCTTATATTTACCACAACGACGCAGATTAATTTGATCCAATAACAAAGTTTTATTATGAATCTAACAAATTTAAAATTTCGTCAATTTATAAGAGTAATTTTTCGATAAAATAAGGTTTCCTAATAAATAAAAAATCCTAATAAACAAAAGATATAAATTATTTAAGCATTACGTAAAAGTACTTATTTGAAATTAATAGTTATTGTAATTTAAATTATATTTAAGCAATCATTAGTTTTAACTTGTGCCTAAAGTATATTCAATGAAAAACAAAAAATATTTCTTTAACATACAAAATAATAGTACCTAAACATTTTTCATTCATTTTCCTTAAAGAAAAATAACCGTCGCAATAAGCCACGAACCATAAAAATCTTACAAGAACATGACAAAGGAATCTAATGAGATTCATCCTGTGCTTTATGATGAAAATTAGAGTGGAAGCTTTAATCAGTGCTGAAACCAAGGATCCCGGTTAATTAGTGATGCAAAACGTTACGGACAGGTACCGCCCTTGAAAAATTCACGTCCACCCCAATTGTAATTAGGTATACAATTACATTACTTTCCTCTGGAAATGAATAGAAGGAAATCTTAATATTTCCATAATTTTACGTGCCTGTTGCATATATATATTTTGCTTGAATATGAAACAAACAATAGTCAGTTTCCTTTTCTTTCGCATTAGCTGGTTTTTATAAGGCATTCTGATTTGAAATATCTATTTTATAATGATAAATATTTTTTTATTTTAATATAACTTACTTTAAAATATCTAATACAACAAAGCTATATATGAGGATTATAAAAAGGTAAAACAATCTGAAACTCAACAATTATTAATGAAACTAAAGAACTTCCCCCGAAGGAACGTATATCAAGATGGAAAAACAATTTTTAACCTGTCATATTAAATTGATTGCACAGTGTACAGTCCCATGTATCGCACTAGAGAAAATACGATTTCCAACTGGTTGATGGAGAGCCCTCGACCTGGGGTCGGGCATTTATGTCATACTTATTGATAGTTATAATATATATTAGACAGATAAATAGATTGAGATTTATTTGCATTACACAACTTATACAATAAAACTACATATCAATCAATTGTATTAAGCACACAATTGTGCTTAATACAATTGTTGTACATTTGTATACAATAATGGCCTAACATTGCGATACAGGATACTGGGCTTATAGTTGTCAATCAGATAGAGTGATATAGTACCTACTTTACTAAATATGCCATAGTAGCAATAAACGAAGACGTGTGAAGGTAGACGCATATGTCTGCCCATAAAGATTTTAATTACCATCTAACCGCTGCTCTTCAGTTTACTCATGATCATGGCGGTTGAAACACTGTCGAAATATCGGGAACTCAATAAAAATAAAACGTGCTAAGATCCGGTGATTTTGACTTATTATACGTATACCTTAAAAATTGCTACGAACTAATAAAACAGCTCAGAGTTGTTCTGAATTGTCTACTTATCATTAGAGTCTGTAAATACTAATATTTAACTGACTGTTGTCGCTGTAGTTAATTTTAAACTTTCGTGTTTAATATACATTATTTAAATTATTAACCGGTCTTAACACGAATAATTTTATAGCATATAAAGGTATTTACCTCTCTCACGTTTTGACTAGGTTGCACTAGCCGTCGTCACGAGCTGACTGGAGTAACAGCGATGTCAATGTAGATAGGTGACAGCAGTTTTTTCTTCATCTACCGTCACTAGATTGTTTAACGAAAGTTCGCGACACACAGAACTCACGGTATCCGTACACTTATTGACTATTGATGCTACTGAACTTTGCTTGAATTTATTTATGACTGGATTCCACGCAGATAATAATTTTAAGGCATCCTCTCTGATGAAATTGGGATGTTTTTTAATTTGGTGAGGCGATTGAAATTAAAAAACATCCCAATTTCAAAAATAATTTAAATAATGTCGTCGCTGTAGTAGTACTAAGTAGTATTAACTACTAGTATTAATGAATATGCTTAAAATGGTATCCTAAAAGGGATAATCAAACGCATTAGTGTTTCTATAGACTAATGGGTTTCCAACTATAGTCATTGTGGATTATACATATACACATAGCATTAGACTACTATGTCTTGTACGGTATTTACTAGGTACTACCTTAAATGAGTCAGTAGATGCAAATAGCTGATGTCTATTCTTTATGCCAGTTTATTAGAAGATGCTCTATCTTCAGAAATTGATAATGAATTGTAATAATGATGATTAGGTGCTGAGTACCTATCTAATAATATAAAGAAGTATATATTTTTTAAACTCTACATTAATAGTCAGATTGCGTTTAATGATAAATAAATCTATAAATCTCTGAATACATCGTATAAAGCAATGTCGTTGTTTTCACCTGTCTGATTTTTTTTCTGACTACTCTAATGCTGTTGGCCGCAGCTGTCTTTTACAGCTTCACTGGACGATAGGAGGCGAGTGCAGATGGCACTTCAATGTCGCGGGAGTACTTATGGAGCGGCTGAAGGCCAACTCCCGAACAGACACCACTTTAGTCTGAGGGCACCGGCAGAGGTTCTAACCTCGGCTCAGGCCGTCGTAATTTTGATCCTCATTTGAATTAGATGGAGTATCGATCGTAGGGGTTATCTGTCTATTTACTCTGTGTCCGTTTATATATTCTAAGCCATACATAGTATTACGGTTTTACCATAGATTATTATGTATTTTTATTTTACATCATATACCCGTACGAAGCCGGGTCGTGTCGCTAGTTAAATGGAACTACAATAAATCAGTGCACGTCCATGTCAGTGGTAATTAATGAACTCCGCCTAAGTTTATTGTTAATCAATTTTAAAATTTTACAACCTCATTTCGGTGTGATTTTGTCAGAAGATTGATGAAGAATCAAATTGTAACGTTATGTCTGATAACCAATGACAAACGCTCAGTCTGAAAATTAATTGTACTTTTTCGATGACACATTTGACTGTGAAAATCACTGCTATGAAAATTTTATTCATAGAAATGCTAAACAATTTTTCTAAGTAAGTTAACTTTAGTTATTGTTCCAAATATTTTTTTTGTTTGGTTAACTATTACTAGGCTCCGGTTTCAATAAACAGATTTTGTAAATTGTAATTATTGTTATACATAAAAGTTCATTTCAATAGTATATTTTATACTAGTTTTATCTTATGTTTAAGTATTAATGCCCACTGTAACATACAGTGAAGTGAAATAAAACAATTACTACAAAATCAGAAATTATAAAAAATAATCTATATGGCGTACCCATGATCCCGGATTATCCCATAAAAATTGCTTCGTTTTGTAAGGATTTAATATGGAAATATAACATTTGAGTAACGAACAATAAATAAGTCATTGAATACAAAACAAATATCGGATAACATATCTACTAATAATATAATACAAATATATATACAACATATATCTTCCTAGAAACTCCTGAAAATAACATATTTGTTGTGTGAAAACAAAAATAAGGAAACAAAAAGGATATCTCTGTTGCGAAATGAAACATTTTCTTGGCTGCATTAAATGTTTCATCTTCCAGTGAAACTGTACCGTTGTGTAAGAAATACATAAAGGAAATTGAATTAAAGATGGTGCTTTTACAATAATATTTTTAACAAACACACATTTATTGTTTGAAAAGTCGCAATCGACTTTTATCTCGAAATACACTCACCACTTCAAATGTAACTTTATATAGAAAATGCAGCTTATATTGTTAAAATTTTATTTGTTTTAACAACGTTTTAGTTTATTATAGTTTCATAAAATGTTAATGTTGTGGGAGATATGGAGTGGTTGTTTGTTTGTGAATTAATTTTCCTCCAGTAAAATTTGAATTTATTTTTGTACTTCATTATTATTGTTAACACACTATTTTTTATTTTATTTATTATAAAATATACATAATTCGTACCTATTAAATGTCTTAAATGCGTTTTATATTTTATAAAATATTTAGATAGAACTGTGAAACGAAACTATAACACGAACACCTATGCTCCGACATTACATCTTTTATTCTACATATATTTTACTTCTTCTGTCTTATATGTTTGTACAATTTTTATTATAATGTTGTTTTCCAATATAACTAGTTTAGGAATACTTCAGCTTGCGTTTCACATTTTATTCAGGATAAGGTTTGTCTAACAATAGTTGAGACAGCGATCGTGTCGTCGCGGCGCCGCCAGTGATTATGTCTAACGCAGGGATAGGAGAGATGCAGAGCAGCCTCGAGCACAGCAGACCACGCTTCCCATGCGGCGCCTGCGCACCCCCTGCTGGGCCAGATGCTCAGTAGAGAAACCGAACGAAGCAAAGTTAATACCGTTACAACAACGCCGACAATGGCCAAGTAGTCGCGCCTCCCTTCTGTCCGATCTGTGCGATTAGGTCTTATTGTTCTGTTGAGCTTCAATTATTGATCTGTCTCAATATCCTTCCCTCCTGGTAGCTTAGATTAACTATCCCTAAATCACCTTGCAACATGGACGTGGAGACACTGCCTGCATCTATTTTGCTCCGCCCTTCTAGCCTACATTTTATTTTAGGTTTTAGTTTTTTTTTTTGTACACTGTTACGAGAAGAAGTTGGGTCAAAGAACTACCTAATTTCTGCTTTTTATTGTCAATATCATAGGTAGCAGGTATTGCTTAACTTGTTCTCAAGTAGACTAGAGACTATCTGTACGTTTAGATTAGACCTAATAGTCCCGTGTACACTTGTAATTCGTACTCGTTTCTTCAATCTGTCTTCTGTTTCTATCCTGAAGCATGTGAACTTCCCTCTTTATTCTGGTAAACTCTTTTGTGTATATACCCAAAATTTATTTTATAGTATTATATACACTAGTATTACTACATAAGTATTTGTATATATTGTTTACTGATATACTTATTTAAATCTATCAACAACTGTCACTGAATGTATATAACTATTGTTAAATATATTTGATTAATTTTTATTTTTATTTGATTAATTGTAAATATTTCCAATTTTTCTTTTGATGTATTACATATATAAATATTCAATATACATAGATGTTATAATTACACCAACCGGTTGTCTTCATTATAAAAAGAAATATTGTTTAAATAAATTCGTCCTAATAATTACTACAAGAAAGATGATAGGCAACCGGTCCTCCTTATTATCTTGTTGGTAATAATCTCCTAGATATCCCAATGTTTCCCAGACTGTGTCCCAATGACGTCGTGTTTTATTTTAGACCGGCAGTGGCGCGCCAGCAGTCGGCCCCAACCCTCGTGTTTAGGTGTGTCGTTGTTCTCACTATTATAAGACCTATTGCAACTTAAATAAGTCTGGGACATAATATATCCAGTTGTACAAATAGTTCTACAAATAAAGCAAATTAAATCAGATTTTATTCAAGAGGCAATAGAAGTAAAAAAATACCCTCACCTATAGAGCATCCAAATAGAACCTGCTTGTCATTGACACACTACTTTCCATTGTTGTTACTGTTGAATATAATTTAATTATAATTATAAGACTAAATAAAATCTCTAGAAAATATTCTTAAAAAGTACTGTAAGGTACTTACAGTACTTTACAAATGAATTAAATTTTGATTTCCTTTCTAACATATAAATTATTGTTTATCTTTATATAAATAATCTAAATATGCTACAATGTTTTAATTGATTACTACTCTGGAAGTCTGCTTAGTGTGTCTGGAAGTTACAGGAGGTTTGGTTTATCAACTGGTGTTTAAATTTATTTATTGTAATTACCAATGGAAGGAAGTGTATCAGATAAAGTGTTCTTATGCACGATGCATGATATCCTCTGCAACCTTGCCTTATTCGCAAAGCATGCTCTAACTGTGCCAAACTAATTTTTTCATCACTTCTATGTCAAAAGGATAATAAATATCTGAACATACACCTATAAGTTTAATAAAGATTTATTTTTAGTAACCCAATTGACAACAGCATAAAATTAATTAAGAGGAGTGTGTAATAGTTAAGAATTTTATAAACTTTCTACCAACTTTTGAATAATAATAAAATCTTTAAGAAAATATTATGTAATGTTATATTTATTAACAATTTTATATAATATTTATGTAGTTTACTTATATAGCCACTAAGTAAGTTGTTTTAACTTTTGTTGTTACTATTTTATAATTTATTACAGACATATTTATTGATTGTCTTGTTTTCAATCCTTGGAAACAAGTCTGTAGCTATTAGTGATTTCTTTTCAGCAACTTTGTCAGTCTTATCACTTAAAACAATAATTCAACAGCAATAGTAATACTAATAGAGGTAGTAATTAGATAATTATATTTATATTATATACCTATTGATTAATTTTATATTTTATATATCCGGTATAGATTAGTAATAGGTATAGATAAATAATAATATTATATTTGAGAAATGTACTTATAACAACTTACACTAGATCAGTAGAATTAAGTTGTAATATACTAATATTTCAATTTCATTCATACTGCTTTGGGAATATTAATATTTATCGCAAATAATATGAGAGTTGTTACAACGGTATTAATAACCATAAAGCAATTTAGTTAGTGGAAGGTATCCACAGAAATAATTATTACCAATTTATCTGCTGGAGTAAATTCACTAACGGATAATATAGCTTCGCTCCGAGCTTAACGTATCAATATTAAAACTGGATTATAAACAATAATGAAATTTACAGCTTCACAGCTTTCCATGGAATATGTTCGAGTGTAAATGAAAGGTCTGGCTGATTTAAAATGCTCAATTTGTTTTCAATCAACGTGTTATTTTGTTGTGACTACTAACTCCGTCATTCACGATCGCTTATGTCTTCGGGCTTGTTAACTTTTCTCGTTATAAGATGAACTAACATAATTTTGGGTTGTGTACAGACGACTGGCCGATGAAGATGACGAGCTATCGGAAGTGCAGCCAGATGCCGTCCCACCTGAAGTTCGGGAGTGGCTGGCATCCACATTCACGAGACAGTTGGCGACTTCGAAGCGGAAGTCGGATGAGAAGCCAAAGTTCCGGTCTGTGGCGCACGCGATCAGAGCTGGCATTTTCGTTGACAGGATTTACAGAAGGGTCACAAGTACGGCCCTTATGCAGTTCCCGCAAGATGTTGTGAGAGTTTTAAAGGTTCGTGATTATAGATTTTCAATATCTGTAAAAATACTTACTAAGTATTTTTATGTTATTTGAATGGCGAACAAGTTGACTACCTGCCTAATAATAAGTCACAATAGTCGCCTATGTACGAGTACATAAAACGAATATCATGTCATTATATGACACCAATGATACCTATTACGGGTTGCAATTGAAAAAGATTAAGTCGTTATTAAACTTAATGTACCTCCGAAATTCGTAGTTGTACTACCATATATTACCTTCAAGTGAAACTACTATATTGAGCCCACTATAAAGCTGCGACAATTAGCTTGATAATGAGCTAAATATAGTAATAGTAGCTCCGATCAGAAATAGGCAACCCACGCAGATGACTTTATACGAAGTCTACCTAAGTAAAAGTATCTAGAGAAGGTAATTTACAAACTTCATATAAAATGACTCGAGTTACGTATAATTGTAGTAGGTATAAACATAAGTCTGCACAAATGTGTTGTTACTTCTACATGTGATACTCAAAGTGTCGTCCAATTTATAGTAGAGCTAGTTCTAAATATACATATGCCTTTATTTTAAGCAGACTGCTACTGGAATATAGGAATAACCAAGTAGGCAACAGATAACATAGGCTTCACGATGTATTTGAGATATTCTTGATGTTGTTCTTGTATACAGACAATAATGACTATTTTCCATCAGGTAGGCCACAAGGTTATTAGATGTTTCAGTTGCAAAAAAACTATTCCTTTCAAATATTTATGACTATTAAAGATGTACTACATACATCAGAAATATTTCCGTCATGTAATACAATTATAGTATTTATAATTTCTTACAGAATTATTATAAATTATTTGATTGCATAATATATAGAGTTATCTGTATATTATATGCAAAGTAGGGGCTGGGCTGAAGTTAAGTAAGACATCATTTGAATACCGCAGGTTCTGGCATGTTCAATTAAAGGTCGGAAGGGCAGAGATCACGCACTAATAATACCACTCCAATTAGTGTTCAACCCTGACTTTGTTAGATATCTTGTATGTACATATATATAAGATATAAGACTCACACTGAATTTAAAGAATCGCATCTTAGTAGCTAAGGTTTAAATAAAAAACTACATAAGTTTAAATTAGCTTTACGTATAGTTCAATGCAAACGCCACCACTAAATTTAACAATTTACATTATTACTACGCTAATAGAATAAACATATACTGTTGCTAATACAAAAGAAACATAGGCAATAAGAGATACCAATTATAGTGCAGCCTTTAAATAAACATCTATTGTGAGCAGCCAAATGTACCGTCACCGCTTTACTTTTAAAACTAATTTCAAGAGCAATGTCAATGTAATCCAGGATAAACCCCAAAGTACTAAACACCGTAAATCATATTTTAATTTAAAATAGACTGTATAATTTCGCATCCATAATTTTAAATTCCGAAAGGCCAAAGTGCTTTATTTAACAAATAAATATTCCTATATATATAGCATCTAATCCAATAACTATAAATAGGGTATATTTTGAATAGATATAGTGGTTATAGTGGCTCACAAAGGACGACAGAATATTAAATCCTACTCTGAAACGTAATAAACAACGTAAGAGGAATCCTTGCTGCTCTATATCAAAAATTCACTAGACTCCCTTAGGATTATACATAATACACAAGCTCCTTTGGAATTGGAGCGCTCAGAATAACATAATTGGGATTTTATTCTAGTCTACTCATCGTAATTATCTATCAACAACTGAATTACTAAAATCCGAATTAAAATACACCAATATACTTATTACATAATAATCCCGCTGTCCTTAGTAGGGCGTGTGTGAAAGATCAAAAAATAATTAAGTCAATTCAGTTTAACTATCACCCCAAATTCACCAGGAATTAGTCCAGACTTTCAGAAGAATTCACGTGGACGTCGATTGATGTGGATATAGCAATTGTAGCTCAAATAATTAGTAATCGGAACCCCATTACTATCAAGTAAATGGAGAAACATAAAAAAAAAATACAACATTGTTTTGTACAGATCTCATATACTTAAAAATCAGCAGTATCAATTTATCTTAGTGTATTAAAGTGCATATATGCTCTTCTATTAGGCATTAAAAATATTTAAATAATTTCTTTATATTCCGCAAAGAGGAAACTAATCAGTTTCTGAAGACATACAAATTCATGAATAGGAATAAGGGAGCCTGTTTCTCTGTGCTCCTGCTGCTTTGTACGTAGGGTAGATTTCTATCTGTGGTTTATTTAAAGATGTAGCTTTATACCCGCATACGTTAACATTTACATACCTATAATAAACTTGAAGCCTTCTCTTTACTTTCTGAATTTGTGTTGAGCTTACAGATAATTATATTCCTCTAAGTTCATTTTACATTTATCACAGCTACTTTATTCAAAACGATAGGAGTAATTCTAAAAAATCATGATAAAACACTATGACTATAGATATGTAGACTATATAATAAATTTAAATACACACAAACAAACTTTATAAAATCATTATAGAATAGGTTTGTTGTATTCTATAATGAATAGTGTGTATTTAAACTTATTTTATCTTAATATTCTAAAGTGCCTACAAAACATTTCACTAACAACTCATATGCTTAAAAAAGTAATTTAAATATCAAATAATTATAATATATTATAAATTGGAAATCGTTTATTACAGCGTATTTATTTATTTTAACAAATAAATACGCTGCTCACAACCATAGCTAAAGCATTATTATTCTTACCTTACATACAGTCGTTTAAACGCACATTATGGCCCTGATTCACACGCACACTATGACTTTCTGATCCCGAATGGGTATATAGACAAGTGTCTTTTTTTTTTTGGGGATAGTTTTTGACTTTTCTTTTATTGCATCAACATAGTACGATTTCTCATTTTTCTCTCAGAATTTTATTTTACTGTGACTTTGTATCTAATTTGGATTGTATCCCACATAAATATTATGTCATTTTTAAGAAAATTGTGTTTACATGGTGTAGTAATATATAAATAACTAATTTTGTATATATTATTTTATAGTAATTACACTCATTCCTTAGAAAAATGTAGAATATATTTTCCATGGAATTTTTCACGGGAACCTGGCAATAACAGATCCGCTGGAGCGAAACCGTGGATAACAGCTAATCATCTTTCTTTGATTAATTTTTTATTATGTGGTCATTTCGCGGGTGGCCAATTCTGTGACTAATTAATTTGAGATTGTTTTTGTACAAATACAATTAATAAAACCTTCTTTTTACTGGATCAACAAACAAACAAACTAACGGCCTATCAAATGGTTACCTTTTTAATCATCGTGGACATCTTAATATCTTAATATCACTATCCGTAGTATCTTAAATGGCTGAGGAATAAAGTACTGTAACACCATATCCCTTAATTTAAGGTAATATCTTAGCGAAACACAGCATACAAAACGTGCTGCTTGACGACAAAAATAAGTGTACAAATAAAGGTACCCACAATGGAAAGAGACGAAAACGACTGTACAAAAAACTTCTTTTAAAAAATAATTTAAAAAGATAATACCATAAAATCATACAATAACATGTATCAATTTTGTTTGTCTGCAGACTTTAGACGAATGGTCTTTTGACGTATTCGCGCTACATGATGCAGCCAGTGGAGCGCCTGTCAAGTACCTCGGTTACGAACTCCTGAATAGATATGGAATGATCCACAAATTCAAGGTATGCTTCAAACATTTACTTACATAACCTTTCCATGGCTCATACATCGACTCATCTAGGTGTAAGTAAACATACTAGCAAATTTTTGGTCAGGAAGAATTTGTTTAAGAAAGGGGCCCTTTTTAATTTTCTTATACTTTAATTTGTAGTACTGGAACACTAACAAAAATACCTACATATGAAGCCAAATTATAGATTGCCATTTTATTACGACTTGTTGAGGTAACAATCTAATATAGTTTGACACCACTATTATATGAAATACAATACAAAAATACAACAGAAATCTTTGATAATTGGATAGTACAACAGATTGATATCAAAACATCCAAGATTTATGAGCATTGAAATATTAAAATTAATTAACTTAGTGCTGAATAAATTTCAATAAAGACTTCCCAAAAAATCTTATTGGATAGGAAAGATGTAGTCTTCAATAAAATTAATATCAGGTGACAATTAAGCGATGAAGCTCATCAAATTAAATGTCAATAAGCTGTCGATAAACTTGAATAGAACCGACCCTTAATATATGTCGACAAGTTAAATTAAACTTACCTTTTTATCGGACACTAATCCAATTTGTCAGTTTACTGCCTTCAAAGAAAAGCTGAGGTTAACGTTGGTTCTTTCATGCCTATTAACATAAAGGAGTTCTATGAAAAAACAATAAGAAGGCCCGTATTTTCTTTCATCAGTTTTAGTAAATCTTCTTTTAACATTAATATTTCATTTATCGTTGTATCTTTGCCTGAACATGTAATATTTGAAAGGTTTTTTGTTTACAGACTCCGTAATAAAGGGTTATACTAAGCTGAAACCAATTAATAGTACTCATTAAATTGAACAAGTTTATCCAAGTATAAATATGGAAATTTAAACCTTACGTTATTAATAATATACGTTTATAAATTACTTCTCAACCTAATGCCATTTTCAAGTACACTTGCATACCTTTCAATAAATAGTTTCCTTGGATTACATAGATACTATATATAAATTCGATAGGATATAAGTATGATAGTCCTGTCTAATTAAGCGAATTATATATTTCTGATTATATATTTCAGGAAGAAATTATAAAAAGAGTTAAGTGCCGAGAGCTTTGTAACTAAAACCTAAGTCCAACATAGCTCGTTATCAGGCTCTTACATAAAAGAGATTATAATAGAATTTATTCCTGAAGCTCTTATATTCCATAAATTAATTTGTAGCGATCTTAATATCAAAGTTATGGCAACGAAAAAAATATTCATCAACGTGGAAAAGTTGAAATGAAAGTTTTAATAGCCTCTCCGATAACTCAAAACAAGTTGGAGATTACTCTTGTCGTGAATTCTTTACGTGCGTATTCTTTAACAAAGTTCAACTTACACTGGTAAGGTATGTAAACAATTTACGTGCCAAGCATAAAGAGGCCATACGAGAGGTTGATGCAAATAAAGTAAAACTCCTATATTAAAATTCACAATTTTTGCCTTTTACTCGATGTTTCGTCTTTACAAGTCCCTAAGTTAATGCTAGCATAGTATTATACATATATGTATATACACCTTCAAGACTTATCCCAGATAGGAAATTAGAAATATCGTCGCTCTGTTGCAATACTTGGTCAGTTTTCACTGTGCATATTTTAATACAGGTTAGCAAAAGGCGAGAGTTCCGCTCTCTGCATCAAACTTTGATATTTCCATTACCTGAGACCCATTCAAATTTTTTTTTGATACTGATCTCCCAAAGTTTTATTCGCTGTCAGACAGATTCGATCTGCAATCGATTACTATGTCATAACGATTCCTATGTTCTAGTTCAACATAATATGTCTACGATATTTTTCAGGTCCCACCAACAATTTTGGAGAACTTCCTCAGCAGGATAGAGGAAGGCTACTGCAAATTCCACAATCCTTACCACAATAACCTTCATGCAGCGGATGTAGCACAGACCGTGCATTACATGCTTTGTCAGACTGGCCTTATGGTAAATATAATATTATGAAAATTTATATGTTTATCTCAATTAGATTGACCCTAAGTCTTAATTATCACTTTAAAATATAATAACAATTATTAATGAAAACAGAATAAAATCAGTGTTTCCTATCGCGTAGAGTTTTTCAATGCTGGCTAAATCTTAATTGATTCAAATAATAATTGTTAGATAATGAAGCCCCTGATAGTTATTTAAAAAAAAATATTTGAATTATTGAGTAAAACGACTATAATACCACAATTTCAAACACTCAGCGTATCTTTAGCCGACATGATATTACTAAAGCCATTTCTGATAGTAAACCTTCCTTTAGACCTTTTTCTTCATAAATCTTATATACGAACTCCGAATCGAATACGACACTCTCAAATTCATTTTTTCCTCCATCATGAGGCATGTATGCTTGAATTAACAGGGTTAGAGATTGTACGAAACGTAAAATAAACTTTTAACCTGACTAAATAGTCTTTTCAATGCACTATCGAATATTATTCTGAGCCTAATCTAAATTTTAAACATATGTTTCTTCAGTTATATTAGCATCCAACAAGGATATTTTTTTGGAAAATTAATACTTAATATGATGAAAAATCGAATGATAGTTTAAAAATTATATGTAGGCATTATTTATCCGTCCGAATATTATTTAATATCAGTGATAGCCTACTGTGTAAGTCTTCAGAGCCTGGTGTCATTTGTCCAATATTCACCACTAGTTTTCGTCCCCGACTTTGTCTACTTGATCAACATTTACCCCGTTAATATAAAGATAAGAAGCCTTTTGGCTAAATGTCATGAAGACTGATCACGCCGTAAATTCCTGAAAGTGTTTTAAACCAACAAACTCACTGTCACATTTATAATAAATATAAGTTTGTATATTGTTTAAATCTAAACGGGAATATAACTAAAGCAATTGACCACAGTATAACTTAGTATGTGATATATTCTTGAGACACTGGTTTTGTGTCTAACTTTTTCCTTAATGTATATTTTCTAGAACTGGTTGTCGGACTTGGAGATCTTCGCTACTTTAGTAGCGGCAGTCATCCATGACTTCGAGCACACTGGCACTACAAATAACTTCCATGTGATGTCTGGGACTGATACAGCGTTACTGTATAATGACAGGGCGGTGCTGGAAAATCATCACATCAGTGCTGCTTTCAGGTATGATAAATCTAAACATACACTATTCCTTTTAATGATGACCAGTGGAAGTTGAAGGGTGGGAAAGATGGGGATAAAATAGGGTCGGTTAGATCATCATGACGAATTCTCTAAGAAGTATTAGAGTTGGTTTTTAGGGCATGCTCACCACGTAGACCCATTTCAATACTATCCACTTTCACCCCACGCAATCAGTAGGTTTCTTATTTACAGCAGAAATTGAAATGTGTTATCTAACATGTGTAAATTAAATTATTATTAACAAACTAATCAATTGCAGTAGTACCTTTAGACTTTCCTCAGTTACTTGATAGATGCTGGGTAGAAAATTTGTTAATAAAAATATGCATTAATTACCTACGAGTACCACTGTAGGTACCACTAAGCTCGTCAAAATCTAAAGACGTAATAATAGATGTCGTAGTATTCTAAAGTATATACGGTTTCTATAATAAAATGTACTAGATTGCCAGTGATATTATTATTAAATATAGAATGTAATTTAAGTTATATTTTCACAAAATTTAACTAATTAATAAACAATGTAATATTACAAAGGGTAAAAGGTACCTCTGGGGAGAAAAATATTGTATTCCAAGCTCTGCGGGCGATTTAATTAATATTACACCATTAAAATAATATCATCATCCAATCCAGTAACGAGACAGCCATGTTTTGTTTCTTCAATTTCTCAATTATATACATAGGTATAACAATCATTTTCAAATTGAAAATTCTGATAAAAGACTTCCAACAAATTTATTTTTTGGTAAACTTTTTAGACTGCAACTATATTATTTGTCTGTACTCCTAAATATATTTCGCCAAATACAAGAGTTAGGAGTGTCATTTTATACAGTTGAGAACAGGATTTAAAATTTCTGACTCCAAGCATTTTTAGTATTATAACCTACCGTCATTATAAAAACATTGAGACACTAAAAAATATTGTGCTGTGATACGAATTATTCTTGTTTTTTTAATATTCCCCATTACTCCTCCTCCCTTACTCTGAAGATATATACCTAATATAGTTATTTTATTAAATTGATTGGGTTTACATAGAACTTTCGAATTTTTCTTATTTTTCGGAGCCGGAGCTGGTTTTTACAGTTTCACCGGATGACAATTATCAAGGATGTTATGGATATTAAATTTCGGATACGGATAGTTTTCGGATATAGGAATGATTATTATACCGGATACGGATACGGATGCGGATATGAAATTATTTCGGATTATCCGTTAGTTTCAGATAATTTCGGTTACGGATATTAATTTTTTAAGGAATTTGAAAAGTAAAATACAAATTGCTAATGAAATGGTGTAACCATTTCATTGACGTGTCTTCGGATAGTTTCGGTTCCGGTTACGGAGCTCCTTAACATCCCTGATAATTATGAAATGCACGTCGTTATAACAGATCTAAAAAACTACATGTTGGTAGATAACTTTGTATAGTAGGTATTTATGTTGTTTTCTCATCCGTATCCAAGTACCTCATCGTATGTATTATCATATTATATTACGGTAAATTTCAATAGACAAAAATATATCAGCCAATTAGGAATTATCGAATATATCGTCATTTTACCTGCAAATCCCAACTCCGCAAACATCGCCTAACAACTTACCGCCGAGGAAAATGTATATCGATAACCAAAAATATGAATGGAAAATCAGTATATGTATTCCGTAACAAAAGAACTTGGAGATTGAACTCGTTATAATACGATATAATTTCCCTTGGGGTCGTCCTCTTTTCACGCGGGACTTCGGAAAGTACGGGTTCGTGATTGGCAGCTTATTACAAGCTATAAAAGTTATGACCTTATATTGAGTTTCATACGACATTTGACTATTTTACTGGATATACTAATCAGCACTGATATTATATGAAGCAAACTTTCATCTCATAGAAGAATGTTGTATGTAACACATTATATTTCACACATTATTATCCATACATCTTGTTCTTTTTGATGTAAGTAGTGAAAAAATAATTATATATTATTGTAATAAAATATAATAATAATATCTCAGAATAATTTATCCATAATCTAGTCCCAAACTAACCAGAGCTTGATTTGAGTACTAGACCACTGATATGAATATGTATACATTTTTTTATACATAATGAACATAGAAAATACTCAGATCGATACAAACAATCATACTCATGAATACAAGTTTGTACCATACGATGAATCGAACGCGAGACTATTGAAAGTAAAAGATCAGTGTGCTAAACTGCTATACCACCGAGGCCGTCATATGATATTAATTATAATACGTACTTCACATAGGTCTTCCATTTAATGACCTACTCGTAGCAGACTCGTAACGTCTCCCTTACAAAAATGTATGAGTACTACTCTCGTATACTCGTATCTGTGGACATATATACTTACTGGCACTTTATAGTACTGAAGCCTCTCAAAGTGCTTTCCTATTAAATTGCTCTTCTTTGTATTTGTTCTATGTAGGGAATCCTATCCATGGTTTTATTGAAATAGAATTATAAAAAAATCAAATTAATAGAACAAAAATAGTTTTATGCGGATAGTACAAGAGTATAACAATATTGTTTATATAAAGTATATAATGATATAACATAGTTATCTACAACCTGTTGAATTAATGCACGCCAGATTTCAACGTTGTGAATACAATATATAACCGAAAATTCTGCATTAACTGTTTACCTCAGTATCACATTTAGTCTGACAGCACCCAATACACAATATAGCCGCAGTTGTTATTTTTCCGTGTCTCGACGCTGATCAATATTCAAGATACGAACTCCATGTCTACGCTTCATATTATGCTGTCAAAACCATTCTATGCGATTTTATTTGGAAATGTAAACTGCGCTTTTTTAAATTGAGAACACATTTTACTGTCTCAGTCATCTCTATTATCTCACTTGTCATTTATAACAACTTCAACAGCCAAATTGAGTTAAATAAAAAAATTATATGTGTACCTATCAACTATGTTTTTGCCAATTTTGAGTTCAATCTGATAGTTATTTTTTATAATATAATAATGGTGGCAATAAATAGGGCTTATCTAAATATAAATGGTTACCATATCCTATAATGGTTACCATAGCCTAAAATACCACGGTACATGTGCGCGTTACCAACCCTTAAGAAACCTTATAAACTTAATAACCCTTCTTGAAAAACCCCATGCTGTGGTCTCTAGAGAAAACCTCGGCAGGTAGTTAATTCCATAATCTAAGTTAATATGCTAGTTTGTGACCTAATCGGTAACTACCGATTGACCTAATCGGTATCTGTCAAATTATATTAGTGATTTCTTGAGAGAACAGTCGTTTTATCGTCTTTTATTCGTTCATAAAGAAAGAAGTAGGTTATATATTTATTTTATTAGTATTATTCTTGTGCCGCTGAATACTAAATCGAACAATTCATACTCTTCAGCACACTTCTTTCTTATGTACATCTTATTATTCATGTATTCGAAGAATTCTCAATTTCACGTATCGAACGAACAATTGAGTCCAACCCCAAAGTGCCTTGAGGGTACTACCTATTTGTGTATGTATTATTTGTATAATAGTATGTTTTATTACTATGTGGCAGGATTTTATTGTTTATTTGTTTCTTTCTGAAATTTGTTTAGGAGAATTTATTAAAGATACTTTCGCTAGCTATGTATATACTTCATACTAGGACTACTAATGGATAGAAAGTTAAAACTTGCGAAAACTTTCGATTTGTTTTTATTTTCATCAATGTTTATAACAAGGGAAGTCACGTCTCTCACCTTTTATATATCCAAAAATTGTGTGGTTGTATATAATAGGATCCCTATATTTGGAAGCGTCAAAAAAAATCTCCTTATAGAAATCTAACTAATCTAACTCGTTATTAAAACATCTGATACTATACTATATAGTATCAGAATAATATAGTAGCACCTCTGGAATCAATTCTATACATATAAATAAAATTGGAGTGTCTTTTTGTAATATTGAAATAACCGTTTTTTACTACATGGGTATGAATATAAATACAATACATACACCAAAATAACATTTTTTACAGTCTGTCTGTCTGTTTATTTCGGCTAATCTCTGAAATGGCTGGACCGATTTCGACGGGACTTTTTTTGGCAGGTAGCTGATGTAATAAGGAGTAACTTAGGCTACTTTTATTTTAGAAAATGTATTTTGAAAAATAAAGTTAAATTCCACGCGGACGAAGTCGCGAGTACAGCTAGTATCTGTAGCTGATATATAAATATCATCGTCGTTATCTTAGCACAGGATCGTATTTTACCCAACGATCTATCATTATGAGATAACTTATTGAAACACTACGTTTTAAATAAATACATCGTATTCTGTATTAAAATATGTATAAAATTTCTTAAGTGATCACAAGTATCTTGTGATCACTATCTACCTACTAAGCGATTTTGACCTCATTTCTGATATTTGCATATAATTCAAGTCAAACACCATGACATTTGCCTAATTGCATGTTATTATTATCTATTTATACCAGCCTTTATTATCTGTATGGAAATTATTAATAGGTAATGGCATAATAGCCTTAGTTACTTGAGGGCAATCACAATTAATATCTTGTGTAGTTACATATACTGAGATATAAACAGTCACACTACAAGCATCTCTGTGTATTTGTGAATAAAGCGTGCCCTTCTTACTTAATTCACTATCTTATTAATATTATAAACACGAAAGTTTGTAAGTATGGATGGATGTTTATTACTCATCATTTAATTAAATCTTTCATATGTATGTAAATTAGTCTGTAAAGTATTTATAATAAGGACCATTAGAGACCTGAATTAAATAAATAAACTACTGAGCGGATTATGATGAAACTTTATATTAATATAGCTTATACCTAAGAATAACATATAGGCTATAAATTTCACTCGACAGAGCTATTATAGTTGCTTAATAATTATTTATTGATTGAATGCCGGTGCTAGTCTACATGAAACCCTTTCTAAAAAGCTCTATTACCTACTAGTACCTAATACTGCTTTTTACAATACGATAAAGATTGATGACATCGATTTTGTATACTCCTAGGTAATCTAGTTCAAAAGGGTATCTACTTTTGCACTTAAAACAGCAAAGGACGTAAAATACAAACAAGCACATATAATACTTATACCACATAGGTAATAGAATCGACATGAATTAAAATTATGCCACTAATAACTTATTCTGATTATGTGATGTATAAAATTTTCCCAATTCGTCTATTCCTTCCTTTATACCTTGGTATTACAGCGGTTTAATAGGCAGTATGTTTAAGAGTTACGCCCATCTCCTTTTTTCTGTCTATTGGTATGACTGATTTTATTATACTTGTAATTTCAATTTTAATTATGAATATATTCACAAATCCTCCCTCAATGATTATGTAACAGATATATAATAGTAGATTTGTTTAGTTTGGAGAGTGAATGGCAATGGTAGGTAATGAAGGTTATTCCAAGTAACGTTGGTCCGTCTTAAATATTGTCATCAGGTGAACTAAACCAAGCTAATTTTTTTTAAATTGCAGGCTAATGCGCGATGAAGAATGCAACATCCTCCAGAATCTGTCCCGTGATGAATTCCGCGAATTCAGAACACTAGTGATCGACATGGTTCTGGCTACAGACATGTCATTCCACTTCCAGCAGTTGAAGAATATGAGGTCTTTGCTGACACTCGCGGAGCCGACTGTCGACAAGTCCAAGGCGGTCTCACTGGTGCTACATTGCTGTGATATATCACATCCAGCAAAGGTATTGTAAAAGACAGTTCATCTCTAATAGCATAAAGCAAAACTGCATACACATAATAAACTACATAACGGATACGATTTTTACTATTATGTAGACAATTTCTTCCGGAACATTTGTATGCGTAATATATGCGTATAGTGTTGTTACCTACAACCTTCGTCCAATAAAATATAGATCCGTTTGAAGCAAAGTAGGTCGCTAAAATTTTGTTGGTAGGTATATCAAGGTCTTTCTAAATTATTTGATTTATTTTTTTAATGTAATCAATCTTAACAACTATTTACTCGTATGTGTTTATATTATTGTATAATACTGTTTAACAAATTTATAAAAAAAAAATATTTTAATGCTCAAATGGCCCAACAACGGATTTTAATAAAATATGGTATACACATAATATCCTGAATAATCACATATCTTAACCTCAACCTAAAATTTTAACTTTTCCAAAAAAATAACATGGATTTTCGTGAACACAATATAATGCACAATTAATATTCAAATTAATGATTTTCGTAAATACCATTAGTTTTATAGTGATGGTCGCGAAGAAATATAATCAAGTATATTTATATTATTTTCCAGAGATGGGACCTCCATCATCGATGGACAATGAGCCTTCTGGACGAGTTCTTCCTGCAAGGCGACAAAGAACGTGATCTGGGTCTTCCATTTAGTCCTCTCTGCGACAGAAACAATACCCTAGTGGCGGAATCTCAAATCGGGTTCATCGAGTTCATTGTAGAACCTAGCATGGGAGTCTGCGCCGATATGCTCGAGTGTATACTGGGGCCTTTGCATTCCAGTGCTAAAAACTCTACCAGCACAACGGCCAACGCCATCAATGAAGAAAATGCAGGTAATATTATCTGTTTTTATTATCTTTAATTTTGAAGTTCGGAGTCCTCTTCATAAGATGTAGATATTCTCGACTAGAAACAGTTGCAACATGAAATTTGTTAGTTATCTACTTTTTTAAGCCCTTTTGGATAGTCATAGTTGTAACTAATACTATTTTGTTTTTTACTCAATAAGGTATTTGAGTTGACTCAGGACAATTCACATAGTGTCATTTAGTTCCAAGCTAAGTAAAGATCATATTACGAGTAAAAATAACTGAGAAACATTTTTTTTTTTTGTAATGACATACTAAACATACAAGACAATACAAACAATAATACTCACTCATTTCATGACAGAGATCGAACCCGCGACTGGAAATAAGGCAGTTGTGCTAAATCGCTATATGAACGAGTCCGTCCTATGTCCGTCTTTGTAATACTCTTCCTATTAAATATTAAAAACCGTTCAACCGTTTATTCGTGAAAACGTAATAACAAACAGACAGATAAACTTTCAAATTTATAATTACTAATATAGATGCACATTGAGATGGTCTTTTGATAAAAAATTACAATAAAAAAATATATAATCAAGGATTTGCTTATAAAATTTAGTATGATTATAGTTAGATATGTGAAAAAAGGAGGTACACAAAAGACCACCAAAATTACAGGTTTCTTTCTTATAATAAACTCAATATTTAATTACAGGGAGCGAAAGTAGCAAATTCAAGATTAGAAAACCATGGGTGGCCTGTCTCAGTGACAATAAGAAAATATGGAAGGAACAAGCTACAAAAGGTAAATGTAAAATAGCAAATACCCATCTATACCTATTACGTATATTATGACAAGCGCTTTTTTTAATGAGACAATATTGAGATACGCAAATATGGATATGGACTTATTTCCTATTAGATAGGTATACATATCCTATATGGTTGAACCTCACTATTGCATGAACGAAATATCTCATTTCGAAAGTATAGGTACCCTCTATCCTGAGGAGATAAAAACTATCGATACTAAGAAATCCCTTAATTATTGTCCCTGACGAGTCTATGTAGCGGACTTTAAAAAAGAGCGAGCCAAATAGTCGCAGTGCTACAGGTCTAAAGCACCTGACAATACCCCAAACGAAGCAATAAAACAATAGTTTAATTTAAGTCGCAAATTATGTTTTCCAATATTTTCATTAAACAAACCAATATACCGTCATGACTATTATTCAAGATAGGGTAGTCAGAGGGTAGTCAGAGGCAGTCAACTATCAATGTTATGGTGAAGGTAATAAAGTTGACATGTTGCTCGTTGTTTTTATCCAACGTGGCAGAAGTCACAGCCTTTCGGATTATTTTTTTGTTTGATATCGGCGTTTCTTTCACCGAAAAGTCACTTTGAAAAAGAAATTTATACACAGTTTTTTTTAATCATCTCATAAATGAAAATTATATTCTTAACTGTTTCCAGATGCAGAAGCCCGAGCTAAACAGGAAGAGGAGACCAACAGTGCTGCAGCGGAAACAGAAGAATAATATATGGCCACACTTGTAAATAGCATTAAATCTAGTTGTTACAACGTATTCTATTCTATGTTGAAAAAATAAAAGACGATGTCATTCATGCGTCGTCGCTTCTTATTGTTGTTGCTAAAGGTGTGTTCACGCACAAATGTAAAACTTGATAGCACAAGCGGATAGCCTGATTGTAAAATAACTCTATGTGGAAGACAACATAGTGAGCCAATTTCTAAATAGGTGTTCTACTGCTGAGCGGTACTCGCCCGTAGTTTAAGATATTTGTTGTGATTTGTCGTCATTTTCTTTAGATTATATACCTAATAAAATTCATTGTCCGTTTTAATAGTCGTTAGTAAGTTCTTTCTCTCTACAATATTGTAAATACCATTGAGGTATTATGTACTAATTTACTAGAGAAGACGCTGTGGTGCAGCACAGACATAATGCAGACAGTCTAAATGTGGCTCTGATCAATCTAATAAACTCCGACTAAACTATTCTTATTTACTACATACCTACTACGAATTGTAATTTGTTACGAATGAGAAATAAGTTAGATATCTTTGTAAAAGTAACATTATATATATAGATAGTATTTAATTGACGTTTTCATTTGAGACTTTTTTAAATTGTAATGTTTTGTAAACGGTATTATGTATAAATATCGTGATTAAACAATGTGTATATTTTTTATTTTATTCAATAATATATGTAAATACATTCAATTATTCGTATAGTAGTTGTACAGTATTTATCTTAATACATATTCAGCACATTTTGTGTAAATAATTAAATTTAATTCAATTCATGTTATTTACTCAAACATGTAAACATTAAGATTTAAAAATTATAAATATTCCAAACATGCCCTGCCGTTTCCGGCATGTTAAAATTACAATAATATTTTGTAAATGTCATCATTATTAAAAATTATATCATTCTAAATTACTGAATGTAACATCCAAATACAATCTAAATGAGCCTACGTGTCAAATGCATGCAACTGTTTGTGGCGACTCATTGATGAATGAAGAAGCTTGAAGCGAGAAATACCATACCTCTTTACAATTTTAAGAATAGATATGTTTAACGATTCACATGATGAGTCGAGATTCCAGACGCCCATCCTATTTGCTCCTAGTTCTTTCCATACCCGCTACTTACGCAGCTGGAAACTGACTTACAATTCCTCTGGTTTTGCCGTAGTGTGCAGCAAGTAGATATGCCCACTCTTTTACCACAATGCTATAGTCTATTTTAGTTATATTGTAATTTGTACGTTAGTACATTGTACTTCAATGGTAAAAAATAACCCAAAGTGTATAAATGGCAAGGTTACCTTATGACAGATTCTAGTGACCACCCACGCCTATAGGAAATAACATCGTTGATTAGCAACTTTGGATCCACGTGACGTCATTTTTCCCGCTAACTGCCTTTTAAACCCATAATTATATCGCTTACTATTTAAATAAATAAGTAAAATCTTTTCATATATTGCTTACGTTATCATCTCACTATATAGAATGCTTTTCTCTAATCACGAATTATAAATATATGTATCTATCTAACTTTGTATATAATAGACAGTTTCGAAACATTGTATGAAATTTAAATTATAGATTATAAGATGACAATTATGTGTACTCAACTAAGGTACTTTTGTAAAAAGTTTTCTGAGTGGTGGTCTACCTAATTGACTAATCACGGGCATTATAATATCCTGATAATGTTACCACTTACCATCAGGTGGACTATCAACTTGTTCCATTCAAATAGCTTAAGACTGTATGAAAGATTGTTTTTTTTTAAGTTATGAATTTAGTCTCTAAGCACTCCGTAGAAAACTGAAATAATAGATCAAGGTCAAAGTGTTTTAGATATACACATAAGTTAAAAATAAACCGAAAAACTATTATATTAAAAAATCTATTAAATCCTAGTCAGAGCAGTTACCTGGGAAAGTGACGATAACTTAGTAATTATACCAGTAAGTTATTTGTATGTACATCTACGATAAAGTAGTTGTATTTGTAGTTAAATGTGGTCATTCCACATTTAGCAACTATACCAATAATGATTCTCAAGTTGATCAAAAATTTCATTTCTAACATACTCAGTGTGTATATATATGTAATGTACTGACTTATTTCTTCGATGTAGATGATAAGCACTAAATGTATGTATAGGTAATTTTAAAATGCTGGTGATGGAGCAAACAATTATATCATAAAGTCATATGCACTTCTCTTCAATGAAAGGAACACCCCTAGTACAGTCAGCGATCTCTTAATATGTGGTTTGGGTGAAAGGCCCTCGGTTTCACTATCCAGCACTATCTACCTAACACCCAAATTACATCAGATCTCACTGGTTGTATATATTTATAGTGAAATAATTAAATATATTCAAATTATAGTAGCTTATATATTAGTGTAAATCTTAACCCATATGAAAATACGCTTATTAATTTTAATGTTTCCGATTAAATTGGAGAGTCTTGATATTCCTGACCAAATGTTATTTAAAATGTGAACTTATTTTCCATATACTAAAACGCCATCTCAAATTCTAGGTATAGGTAGTTAGTATATTATTACCTAGTAGTTAGTGAGAAATTCGTATTGAAAAGTATAAAGGGTATTGCTCTTTTGGTTAGCCGTATTTACAAGGTACTTATATCGTGGTAAAGTAATATTAACTTACATTTCAGATACTTTTAAATAGTGCTCAAGTCAACCTGATTATTAAAAGAACAGAGCCTGCACTTTTACAAAGCATTAGACTGATGGAAAAGGCTTATATACCTACTTGCCAAGGGCGATCTGAATATCTAGGTGTAGATATGATCTTATAATGGTTATAAGAAAGGTAATACGGAGGACCCAAAGTAATTGTACCGTCCTTCTTAGACTATCTATCTTTTGTCGAAAGGTAATTTGAATTTATTATTGGAAAGATGTAAAAAACAACCAGGGCCAAATGTTTACTCGAAATTGCCAAATATTAAGGAACATTATCAAATTAAACAATCAAGGAAAAACATCACTCACATATTTCAGAGGCCTAGTTTTCCTGGTAGGTACATGGGACCATTCTCATTGAATATCAAATCAAAAGAAACCATAATCATAATAATTTTAGGTCCCTATTTTGTTATTTCAGGGATTGTAAAAATAGATGTAATCCAACTGGTGACGCTTATTGTAGTAAAAATTAACAATAGAACTTTTTATATATTTATCATCTATTTAAATTAATACTAGACTTTATGAAGAATCTGTATATTGTGCATTTAGTGTATCGATTAATAGTTTGACTAAGTGTATTCAATATAGGATGTAGTTAATCGATGCCATTACGATTGGGGATATAGCTTTATAAAAATGTAGTTTAGAATACTGAGCCTTATGAAAACAATGTATCAATTGTTCCTGTAAATTAGCTTGCAGCAGATCATAGGGCCATGATCCACATAATCGATTAAATAGTAGTTAATGTTTCTTCCTTAATAATAGATTTGCTTTTGGATATTTAATGTCAACATTCCGATGCCTGAAGACTTCACTGCTGTTATAAAATTTATCAATAATAAATATATGTGTAGGGTCAAAATGTAACATTTTTAATTAGGATTTCTGACCATTAATTATCAGTGTGTTAAGTCAGTCAGTATAAATATATATAATGATTGTAATAGTATGGATAAATAGTGTATTAGTACATTGTATTTGATTGACTTATATATCCTTCAATACTTCACACGTTGGAAACAAAAAGACATTAAAATAGAGTTACTCACCATCAGCTAGTTAACTATTAATCACATATCACAAATTATGACCACACCAAACAATACATTTTAAAGTCTCACTTCTTAATGTAATATGTATAATCCAATTAAAATTATGTTTTTCTTATATTTTGTAAACAGTCTTAGTATGCAGTTTTTATTAAACTTAATCAATAATTTATATACATTTTAAAAAAACTACATCACCACATTAAATGAAAATTTTATTCTAGTTATTAATTATTTTTATATCTCTCTGCTATATTCTTCTTCTTCATATTAATAAATATGCCAAGTTTGTTTATTAAATATGACATATATTTATACATAAAAAATACAATATAAGCACTATATTAAAAATATAATATTTTATAAATAATCAATTCATTATTAAATATCATAACAATCAAATGAAGCACATAAATAGTGCTTATATTGAATTTATGAAACTAAAGGAACACATTTTGTTTTTATAACTTTGTATGCAATCTCATTATCTAATTATTAAATTATAAATTTGTTTAAATAAATTAAGATTCTTTTTTCTATATTATGTAAATACAATAAAACACCTTTAGGTATGTGTAAATTATATGTAAAATAAAAATAAAGATTTTCGTAGAATATGCCTTTTATTGATTGGTTTTCAATATTACAAAAATTGTAAACACAGTTTTACATTACAATGAATCTGTAAGGAGCATTTACAAACACATATTTCAATTATATAGACACTATACAAGTATATTATAGCAAAATGTTAGAAAGAATAATAAAACTATTATTCTATATATAACTAGTATATTATATTTACACTATCATACTTACTAATTAGCTCAGTATATACTTGTGTGTCTTTCCAAAAATATTTATTTGTACAGACAAAGCTCTAACATCAGTTTTTTGCCTGCTACATATAATAGTGCCTTGAATTATATCACCCTGATTTACATCCCTACAATCTTTAAAATAAAACACAGTTTGCTTCCAATGTGTTGGAGTTTTGTCAGGGCCAGTTGAAAATGAAACAGGATTAGGTAAATCAAAGAAAGTATCAAAATAACCAACAAGTGAGGTGAATGTGCCAGTTCTAGATATTGTCAGCTTAAATTCAGATGAAAAATCCATTACATCAGTGGTACAAGTGTTAATGTCTATTTCTTTAACAATACATGGCTCAGATATTATGTGTTTAGATCCAACTATGTCAATGTTAGCTTCTCTAACCACTTCCGACTTCATACAATTCATTTTGTATCCATACACATCTGACCAGTAGTCAATGAGTTTCGTGTGAGTTTCAATATCGCCATTTGCAACTAAACTGATATTGCATTTATTCGGCAAGAGCAATCCTCCAGGCTTCAAATAATTATCCCTAGCATAAATAACACTATCCAACATACCTTCAAACAACAAAAAGTATCCCATCCATTCAGAAACAATAATATCAACTTTTTCATCCAGTTTCGTATTTTCTACTCGACCTTTCACAGTTTTAATAATATGTTGCAAATTATTTTCTCTGATAATATCAATTGCATGGTATATTATTTGAGATTGGTCCAAGGCATATACTTTTCGGGCACCAGCTGTTGCACATAACATAGATAAGATCCCTGTGCCACAACCGAGATCCAGTACAACTTTATTTTTAATAATTTCTTTGTTATTTAAAATAGCATCTCTATAACTCTCGGTTCGCACTTTATCTGATAACATTTCATAATGTATGCCAAAATGAGCATATGTACTGAAATATCCCTCATCATCTTCTAAAGGTAATTTAGACACACAGTTGACAATATTTTTGCCCTCACCATTAGTGTTTGTGATTCCACCATCAACAAGAGTTTTCATAGATTCCTGCATCTTATTTATATCTTCTTTAGCCATCTGTAGGTGAGCTTGATTTTCTTTAAGCTGGCCTGTCAATGTTTGAATAGTCTTTTGAAGTTCAATGAAGTGAGTCTGAGACAATGTTACTAAACCATTCTCGACATTAGCGTGGTATGTTTTTGGAGAATTACACTTATCAGATAGAGATTCAAAGTCGAACATTAACCAATCATCATTTTCCACTGGTTTTAAATACTTTTCGTCGTCCCAAAGAGGCATTGTTGCGTTCACGATGAAATCGGGATTAGGCTTATGTGACTTTATGTAGTTTATTAATTTGATGTATGAATAACAATCCATGTTGAATTTTAATTTTAATTTATTCAAAGCAAAGTTATGTTCAGTTTCGCAATGGCTTAAGCCTTCTTCTATGGACGTAAAAAAATTGGTACAAAATAAACATGTTACCGTAGTATTAGATGTTTCCATTTCTTGCCAATCATCATCATCGAAATTTTCTTCATCACTGCTCAGATCTGGGACATCGGACATGTTAGTAATTTATGAGTTTAGTTAGAAAATCAAATTTATTTCACTAACATGTGAGAATTATTTTGAAGGCTTTTCGTAAAAATCGATGGAACTGTCAAAAGAAAACGGCATGAACCGCATGAACAGAACTGACAACTATGACTTTGACAACTACTGCCAACAATTACCAACACACAACACAGATCAAATATTTGTGGTGGCATATATTGCACGCAATTTATTTTGTCACTGTGAAAAGCGGCCTTTAGAACTAAATGACGAGTCGAGCGGTTACGGAAATGTAGTAACCATGGTTTCAGCGTCAAATTATGCACAACAACAGTAGTTTCAGATTACTGTTTAATTGCTGTAGTAAGAAACTAGAATTTGCTAGAAGCCACCTAGTAATAAAAATTTAGAATGAAATTAAAAATATCTTCTTTCAAAGAACCAAAACATGTTGGGGTAGTTATTTGTGTGAGTTGGAATAATACTGAAGATGTTTTTTCCTGCGGGTGAGTGTGAATATAAATTAAGTGTGTAGCAATCTCTCATGAGTTCTATTTTGGTCGACACAAGAAAATTACTTTTTTTAACTATCTCTCGGCCAATGACAAAAGATTGCGGTAAGCTCTATGTTGGATTGAAACTAAATCAATTGAAACAGATAAACGAAAACAGCGATTTAATTTCTCTTAACTTTTTTTTTTCGCCCATACACCCACACTATACTACTCATAATCACTGGAAATTCCTTTCTTGCCGCAGTGATGATCATAAGTTATTGAAATGGAATCTAGTAAACAGCGAATGTATGGTTGTGATGACGTTCCCTGATGACTTCTATCCAACAGGGATGCACCTGTTCCCGAAAATAAACATGGGGGGAAACAAACATCAACATGATGTTATACTCATTTCTACAGCAGATGGGAAGTAAGTAAGATGGTTAAAATAGCATTTAGAGTACAACATGATATAAAGACCTTTAATATAACTTTATTTGTAAATCTAAACATTGTTTAAGATTTCATATAGTGAATCATAACGGTCGAATAGAAAAAACCGTTAACGCTCATCAAGGTGCTTGTCTCGCTGCACAGTGGAGTCCTGACGGAGCTGGTCTCCTTACAGGTAGACACTTTGATAACATTGACATTCAATTATATTTAAAGTGACTAGTTAAGTGCACGTGTATGACCAAGCGCATTTGTGCAGCACGAATTGGTTAGAACCAGAAAAAACAAAAACTCTTCATAATTGACGTTAAGTGTTATCGCGTTTGGAATTCTCCTTGCTGCTATTGCTTTACCTAATTACTTCTTATAACGCCGGTACCTGCAATTATCCTGATATTACGGCTGCTTATAGGGCGCAGTTATAACTTACTATCACGTGTGCACGTAGCTTATTTGCCTTCCACGTTTTAAAAAAAATATATAATTTATAATTAAAAGATAAATTATTTAGTCAATAATTCATAGTTATTATCTTATGCTTTTAAATATCCCTGCAATAACAACTTAAAATCGGTAGGTACATATGACTAACTGATTCGACCACTCGTGGCTAAGTAGTTCTAATATTTAGGTCAATACAAACTATGGGTTAGAGAGCCAAATTTCATAAAAATTGAGCACATCCACATGATCCATTTTAATATGTAAAATTCAATCCAATAAGTTTTTACTAACTGTTTAATATTGTTCTTCCAACACTTGTACCTAATTAATTGAAATCCGAATAAAAGTACCATTGTTGAAAGCATACGTATTTCTAGCCGGAGAAGATGGTTTCGTCAAAGTATGGTCTCGGAATGGATTGCTACGCTCTACAATCGTGCAATCGGATGTACCGTGCTACAACGCCACTTGGAGTCCGGATAGCAGCGCGATCCTGTATACGAAGGAAAACTTTCTCGTCATCAAACATTTAAATTCCAATAACAAAATTACAAAAGTTAGTTAAATTTATAAACTTTATACAGAGACCATAATTGTTTTTAGACGCAACCTAGTCAATTATTATTAAATTGTTTGAGACCGTTTGTACTAAATATTATGCAACAAGTATATTAAACAAAGTAGTTCTTTGTAGTAATTATGTTTACAAATAAACCAATTCGCGAAAAAATCATTACATATAATAAATGTTCGATAAACGATTTCAATATGGTCTATGCATATATTTCACATTTGTTTAAAATATATGTATAAGTATAGATAAGACAATGGTACATAGTGCATGTTTGTCTTTTTACAGTGGAAAGCTCATGAAAGTCTAATTTTATGCGTAGCATGGAATGCAAATAACAATATGATTATATCTGGTTCTGAAGATGGTTTCTCTAAGGTTAGTAATTTAATATTTAGCAATTTAAGAATTTTCATTGAAAGTCTAATTTTATGCGTAGCGTGGAATGCAAACAACAATATGATTATATCTGGTTCTGAATATGGTTTCTCTAAGGTTAGTAATTTAATATTTAGCAATTTAAGAATTTTACATTTTATATTTGTATAACAACATATATATTATAATATATTTTACATTTATTATATTATTAAAAAACATCTGTTCAATCTGTCGTGTATCTCGTAGAAGATAATGAATCTCTCGCCTTCTTATAACTTCTAACGATAAATAAAAAATATTTACTTTTTAAAGTTCGCTATTCATGAATGTTGGCTATATTACTTATGCGAATAGATTTGGGATACCTTCGGTCAACAAATATCTGTCAGCGTGAAACATGACCAACCCATCACCAGTGTGAGTTGGTCGCCTGCCGGTGACCTGTTCGTCATTGGAAGTTACAATCTCGTACGATTGTGTAGTGCCAATGGAGTAAGTAATATTTACACAATTCTTCGAATTAAAACTTACCTCTTGCAAGCTTCATAGTTTCTTATGTGACTTAGTACAATTCAACATACATGATAGAGAATTTTTAAAATCCATCATAGCTTTTCTGTTTTCTCAATATCAAACAAAAAATAAGTTTTTTTTTCTCTTTACAATATTTAGATGACGTTGTTCAATCAGTAGCGTAAATAAGGCTTTTATTGTTAAACAAATCTGCATTTCAACAGGTTTTATCAAGACGCAATAATGTGGTTATCATATAAATTCATGTGATGAAGCTCGTAAGCATATTTATATTCTGCTATATTTTTGAATTTCTTCAACAGTGGTCTCACTGTCTAGATCGTCCAGCCACCGGTAGTATTTATAGCATCGCTTGGTCTTCAGACGGTACCCAATTAGCAGCTGCTTGTGCAAATGGACATGTTATGTTCGCTCATATAATTGAAAGGTAATCAAATATTCATAAAGTGTCTGATCTGAATTGTTCTCAAAATTCTAGTAAGTCTGATAAAAACTGTTTATATTTTATTAAATAACTTCCAGAGAGTATACTTGGAAAAACTTCTCCTGCACCCAAACAGGCCGCAAAGTGATTGCTATTAAAGATATAATTACCGACCAAAGCGATCAATTAGACTACCCTGACAGAGTTATACAAATCGCACTAGGATTCAATCATCTTGTGATAGCGACCGTCAAACAATGTTTTATACATAAACTGAGCTCTTGGAATACACCAGTGACATTTGATCTTAAGGAAGGAACGATTAGTATGATTTTGTTGTCTGAAAGGTGAGATTATTTTTGAAAATAATAATAATAGCCTTTATTTAACAATGTTTCTTACATAATATTTATCTTACTCTAATTTAATTACTTGACACCGGTACTTGAAAGTTGTCTTGCTGTTGCTTGTCCCCTGGAGTTCGCCATTGAATGCGATTCAGCGCTAGTCTTTTCCATGTATGTCCCGCTATATTTTTAATATCTCTCCCTATCCGTCTTTTATATTGTCTCGAGCACTAGTCTGTAACGTCCTTCGATTAATACTAATATAATAAATACTACTGATGCGCTCTAAGTTGTTTTCCCTATTATACAGAAAAAAATAGTGAGGGTCTCTTATGTGAAATTGTCCTATTCTTATACGACTTAACGTACCCTAAACCTAATTTCGTAAATATCGATTACTTACGACACATTCTTATTTCTATAGTGTGAATGTATAGAAGATTTGCCGTAACGGTAGCGTTTTTATAAAAATAATAATAGTTGTAATAAATGCAATAAATATTGTACTTATGTTGTGTTTTAGATGTTTGTGTATAGTAGAGAGAGCCGGTATCTCTGTATATAGTTATATGGGGCGACTACTAGCTAGTCCCCGTTGGGGTGCCCGTCCAGACACCCTCGGTCGAGCAGCCTTATCTCTCGGACCTGACGCCCTCGCTGCTGTTGATCAAACAGATCGCAAGCGTGAGTATAAAAGAAAGAAATAAATTCTGAATTCATACTCTCATCTATTGGAAAATGACTACCAAGATTACTACTGCAACCATTCATTGGTCAAATCAAATAATATGCTGTTTATATTCCAAATTTCGATCACTTTTTATGAAGTCACTCCCACATATTTCGGGGTTAGATATTACTCATAAAAAAGTTTTTTAATATGTACTATGTTGGAGGATTTAATACCGTTGTAACTGAAGCAAAACCATTTTAAATACCCCGAATTTAAAGTTGCATATTAAACAAATCAAATCTTACTTACTATATTATTTTTTTGGTTAATTATTAATATACTATTACTTAAAGGAGTTCTCTAGTTGATTGTACAGATTACCTCTGATTCCTTCGTGTATATATGAATTTGGAAAAATATTTTTTCCTCAAATTGAACATTTTAGATAAATTAAAATAATATACTTAATCTACCAGCGTTTGGAAATTATAAAAAAAAATATTTTTTGTATTACAAAATATGATTTTATTATCTAATTTGCAGTTGTTCACGTGTTCGATCTACCAACTGGGCTAATAGTGCGTAGCTCTACTGATAACACAGTGACAAAATTGTCCCACAAGATGACAGTGTCCAACATCGCACTGAGTCAGTCGGGGCCAATTAGCGAAAGACAGCTAGCATTATTGGACTACAACCGTGACTTGTATGTAATTACAGTGAAAGATCCAAAGGCTAAGTTCAATAAATTAGGTAAATATAAATATTTATACATTTTCATATCCTAATGCACCGAGAAGTTAATAATAGTGTAGGAATCTAACACCCTGTGGTTGACAATAGGTTTGACTTAACATAAGTGTGAGTAATTGATATTATAGAAAGGTGTTACATATAAATGTGGATGGTAATAGGGGTAGAGGAAGAACGAAAAAGAGACGGATGGACTATGTGAAAGAAGACATGGTGAGAAAGGGAATAAATAACGAGATGACTGCGAACAGAGATAAATGGAAGAGAAAAACATATTACGCCGACCCCAAATACATGGGACAAGGCAGAAGCAGATGATGAGTAATTGACTTGATTAGTCCAGGTTTTTTGCTATTCCACTTAAATCACAAAAGTAAATAAATAAAAACAAAAAAAGCAGAGGTTGACCAAATTGATGAATTATACAAGTAGAATTAGTACACTCTCAAGTCTCTTATTATGAATTAATTTTACTTGTATTAGGATCTCAAATCCTTGACATAGTATGGAGTGCAGAAACAGAGCTACTGGTAGGTCTACGTGCCAGCTCTGTGGTGGCTTGGTGTTGTCCTCGCGCTGCCGCCCAAACTGATTGGCTCCTGCTGACCACTGTCAGCAAGGAAATCACGTAAGATTTAATTCATATTAACCTATTTAGGTATGTAGCAAATAATCTTCAAATTAGAAGTGACGTCAGTCGTAAAGATTCTAACATTTTGTTTATATCTGATATTTTATAGTAATAATACGTCAAAGAATCAGAGCATCAATTGTAGTGGCTTCGACAGGTCATGAGATTAAATCTGGCTTAGACCGACAGATCATAAGTTTGAATCTTGGCGACATATGACATTGAAAAACTTTGTGTGTGGTTTTATATTTCTAGACTCTCTCCGGTGACAACAAAACACCGATACCGATATCAAACCAAGTTAATCGAGAAAGGGCAGTAGGCTCGACCCTGTTATGTTGAATTCAAATGTCTATAATGAAACAAGATACATACGTCAAGTATTGTATTCTCTACGATGTCGAAATTTGACAATGCCTTAGAGCATTGTTAAATTTTGACCCTCGTTTGAAATAATAATAATGTAGGTAGGTATATATTTATATACATTTCATTTATAAACTTTTTATAGTGGACAACCTCTATGTATAACTGAATTTACAGAGATCTAGGTCGTAACCCGTCTGTTGTGTGTATCGAAGACGGCGTCGCGCGTATTTGTCGCGGCAATGGATCCACGCTGCACGTGTCACTCGCTGCTTTTCCCGAAAAGTTGTTAAAACACGTTGCAGCCAATATGTGGCAAGCTGCTTTACAGGTTAACGATTAATTAATATTATTTAGTAAATGTAATTAAATATCACTCACTTTCAATCTACAACCAAAAGGAGCAGATTGATACATTGCATTGCATTATAAATCAAAACAAAACACAATCTTTACCTATTCATGTCTATTACTCTTAAATATAACAAATAGTGCTTTCGAACTAAGAAGAACTACCAATATAACTGTAATATATCCCATTAGGAGTAGGTATCCGATTTAGTATAAACCGACCGAACTAGACTTTACAAAGTCGCATGCTTTTTTTAACAATTTAATTTAATTTAGTTTAGAGCAGTACCACGGGCACTGCTCTAAACTTTATTACACATGTGCTATTTTTCCAGTTGTGCCGAACGGTAGAAGACGAAACGCTATGGGCCTGTTTGGCAGTTCTAGCATGGCAACAACACCAACTGGCTGTCGCAGAGGAAGCATTTGCACTCATACATCAGTACCAACAAGTTTGCTACATTCAGCATCTCAGGGTACGCATATCTATTCCACAAATTCTGAATGCCTATTTTTCAAAATAATAATTTTAATATTAATGAAATTTGTAAGAGTCTATCTCTTTTGCTTTCTGAAGTAAAGGTAACGGAAAATATTTTTTTAATTAATTAATCTCAATTAATTCCATTAGTTTTACTCGCTAGTAATGTATAGATATATGAATAAATATGTAGCACAATTTTTTACAAGTTCTACAGTTTATGGTTTATTTTGCTTTATTTTACAGAACAGTATTCCAGAAAAATTGTCAGCCAGCGGTAGTTTAATTGTTAATTAGTAACAATGAAAATGGCAGTACATAATTATTTACGTAAATTAAAATTATAAAATTATGTTCACTTGGTTATCACTTTTGTAAAACACGAAAAGAAGTTTAGTATGAAAAAAAAATAAAGAAAGGAAGTAAATGTAAATCCCATCAAAAACATAAATGTGAAATGATAGCCGAGTTTAATATTATGATATATACCTTGATTGTTGACTTCTACGACAAAAGAGATGAGATCTAAATGGGTGCCAAGTTCAATGGTCTGTCCTGAAATGTATTTATAACAATATAAAATATCATTTCTTCTTATAACTTAGGATAATATACTGTAGCCTAAGGTCTAACTTGGCCAGTTCTCAGTTTTGTGTTATTTTCTATATTTTCTTGTAACTTTTAAATGTTCAAGTGCATTGCCAATTCAGTATCAGGAATTTTTGGGCAAATCGGGGCGGTATAACGTCCACAGATGGTTGTACTCTACAATAGAGCTCTCGTGACTTGGATCTAAATTGTTAAGACGTACCTACTCCATCTAAGGTTTTAACTCTGGAGAGTCCAACGTAAACCTGCCCTTTATTAAATATAGAGGAGCCTATGTTGAGAAGAGGACTGCTAAAACTAAGGCCTTGTGATTTGTGGATAGTAATAGCATATGTTAAGCAAATACGGAATTGTTCTCTTTCAACATATACATTATCTGAAACTTGGTATTGACACGTTATAGTTCGTAAGGACGATTATGTAACAAATTGACTGTTATCTATTGAATTCTCAAGAAAACAATTTGTTTCCAATGAGTTCTCATTCTCGAGTTAACTATACATTCCTACTTATAACTATACTAAAATTGTTATTAATTTTTGGTTTAAACTATTGTCTATACCATACGTATTTACTAAAATAATGTAATAATAATATAACCACAAATATATACGTATAATTTAAGAAAGCTATGTATTTCGTAGCATAAATCGCAACCTATAAGGTTAGATATCGAGAAACAAAACATTGAGTTTTATCGCACCGCTCCCACACGGCGCCGCCGCGGCGCCCTATACCGAAATGCCTATTATTTAATAATTATTTATAAAAATAATGATTTTACACTATCAATGTGCGCTAAATATTGAAACAATAATTAATACCAAATCTCAGTTAATAACATAATAAATACAAAATTCGACTATACTCCTAGTTATAAGTAAGAGTATATTTTAGACAGAATCTAAATTATAGCAACTAGTGTTTACCGCTCAATGCAATATTTGAAGTTTGCTAGTTATCGACACTGATGTGAAGGGGTCAACGTAAATTGGTAATGATCGACGTTTTCATACAATATTAGTTTCCGTCCAGTACAAGATGAGATATTTCGCCAGGGATCAATGTCAATTGGTGGCTATCGACGTTTTCATAGAATTTTAGTATTCGTCCAGTATAAGTTGAAATAGAATCAATTAAAGTGAAAAATTGTAGTAAAATGATAACTATTTACCAGTTTCAGATTTTTTCCTTTATATTCACCTAATTACCTATCTGCATGCCAAATTTGAACTTCCTAGGTCATCTGGAAGTGGGTTATAATTTTGATCTATAGTTGATCAATGATAAAAATGACGATTTTTGGACATTAATATCTAAATAACCGTTTGAGATATGTTTATGAAATTTGGAACACATATTTATCTCGCAAGTCTCAATATATGAACCGAATTTGACAGGTTTGTGTGAAAGAGTTTTTGAGTTATGAGGGGGTCAAAAGTGGCTCCAAATGGTTCGTGTAAATATACACACGGTGCTGCTTGCCAGTTTACTTGAAACTCGGCTTTGACACGCTACCGCGTGTCTAGATAAATTCCAATTCTTTTTTATTTGAAGTAGTAATGTGTGTAAGGAAATATGATAAATAGTGTTTCTTTAAATACTGGTCACCTAATTAGGTAACAGCGTAAAACTCCATTATAATTTTAATTAAATCCTATAATGATCAAGCATTATGTTCACTACTTTAAAAAGAGAAACTCCTAATTAAACAAGGTTTTAAACTTGTTTTCATGCTAAAAATATTAATATGCTGATTTATATAATATGTACACTTTGTAATAGTTTATTTGATAAAAAATATATTAATATTAAAATTATTAGTTGCATTCAATTTCAATATACTTTGTGATTCTATTACTTTTCATACTTCTTAATTACTGGAGCAAGTTCTGCTGCATTATTAGAGTACATACTTAACTGCGAAACTCAAAAGAAAATTATTGAAATGACTTAAAAAAAATTGGATATCGACTATACACAATTATTAGTTGAATTTTAATTTTAATGCAAAATTTTCTTGCTTTACGTTGTCTTTTTTATATTGGAGTGTGATGGAATACATTCGATATTTACATTATAAGATAATAATTGAAAAAAGAGGTCATGTAATATTTAAGAATCATAGTGAAAACTCACCTTATCTTTGGGATGCGAACTACTCTGTGTATGCGTCTGTTCCTAATAACAGCTTTTATCCACAAGTGGAAAGGCTAAGGTATAAGACCATACAACCTGTCTGCTATTAATGTTAGTAATACATAATTAATCTGTGGCCTGTGGCTAGTAATGCCAGATTGGGCATTTTTTACCCTAAATTCAGGGGTTTTGTGAGGATGGGAAAATTAAAAAATCTTAAATACAGATCTTAAAAATATAAAAACGGAAACCTTCTGGCAAAATAAATCAGATATGTAGAACAAACGGCGTAAATTAAATAAAATGTACTCAGTTTCACATATCAAGGTATAAAAAAAAAACAAGACCACTTACGGATCAAGCAGCCTAAAAGAAAAGGACAAAATGTGGGGAAATTATCAGATTAACTGGCAACACTTTCGCAATTTCCCTTGACATGCGGTACTATAATACTCTACTATTCAATTCAGTTGTGTGAAACGTCAGTTCATGATTTGTGTTTGAAATATACACCAATAATTTGTTTAGAAAATATATAAATTGCAATTTGAGTTAAACATAACATAAAATAAATTTTATAGCTCAAAGTCCTTATATAGATTATTTTTAAATTTATTTATTTATTTTGTTTAATGACTTCGTGCCCCAAATTAAATAAAAATGAGAATTTTCTGAAAGTTTCATTACTTTATCGTTAGTGCATGACACTAATTTGTATTAAAGATGCACGTCTCAAAGTATTATCTTGTGTTGTTGAACATTTTGTTTTGTGTGCGCGGCCAAATTAGCGATATTAGTGAGAACGATATAGACAATGAACACTCTTTAGAGTTGACCCAGTCCTTGAACTTGGCACGTCAAGAACTCATTCAAGATGCTTGCAAGCGGTTCCCTCCTAAATATGATTTGGATGAGCTGCCTGGTAACCAACTTGAACACATTTTGATTGATGATAATCATAAGTTACTCTATTGTTATGTGCCAAAGGTGAGTAATTTAAAAGCAATATATATTTTTTTTTATGGATGATAATGGAATGGTGAACCCGCCTGCGCTAACGGTTTACGCTGGCGGTGCACCAGTGGAGGATGATAAGATGAACATGAGGTCAGGTTAGTTAGCCCATAGTGACAAATTCAGCAGGAATTAATCACGATGGTTTCCAGGGGGAACTACGTGGAGGTCAACCTGACATGGTACATTGCTAGCAATGAGATCATAAATCCACATTACCAATAACCACCTTTCCCCCCTAAAGCAATATATTAGATTTCATAAGAATTAAGTAATAACAGTTTTATCTGTAAAATACATAACTCACAGACTGAACTCCTAAATCAGTCTCAGATTAAAACAAATGTCTTAATGTTGGTGCTATATGTAAAATTAGAACATCTATTGCAATTAAGTATAAAATATTATTAACAACTTTAGTATATATGAAACTGTGACCCCAATGTATTTTTAATCACATATTTTCCAATTCCTTCATGGTTTCAGTGCATATAAATTTAAGATTTATATTTTCCCAATAATATTCATAATCTCTGATGCTAAACTTGATATGAATTTTAAAATAATTCTAACATGATTTTTTATGCATGTGATAAGAAATTTTGTCTGTCATGAACAAAATCATAAAAGTACTATTTTTTTTAAATCATAGATGTTCCTACTTTGTCTATTTTTTTTATATAAAGAGTACCCTATATCCATTTTTGTTTTAGAATCTATCTTTGTGTCAAAATTCTTTATATGTGTCCAGTTCTGAAAAAGAAAGAAAAAGACACTAAGTTGTATAATATTAGTATGAAATGTTCCTACTCTAATATTAGTCTTATGCATTACTTTTATAAAACAGCAACTTTAATGAATATGAATAATTTACTTATCAGGTGGCATGCACAAATTGGAAGAGAATCCTCATGATACTGGGCGATAAATGGAACAGCACAGATGTGTTGTCAATACCTGCCAGTGTGCCACATACCCCTGGAATGTTCCGGAACATGAGCACAGTGAGCAAACCTGAAAGGGACTACATGTTAGAAAACTACCAAAAGATGATCATAGTTAGGAATCCATTTGAAAGGTTGCTGTCAGCATATAGAAATAAGTTGGAGGGTGTAACACAAAGTGCTAGATACTTCCAGGTGAGATTTTATATTTCTTTAATAATATTTAGATCCTTATCTATAGATACATAAAATAAAGCAGTTTTCATTTTATTTCAATCAAGATGAATCAAGTTTTCATTTGTTTCGCTGCCTATTTTTTGTAATTATTTCTACGTGGTTTTTACTATATTTTCCAAACATATGTAAGAGTTCTATCTAAAGAAAAATTCATCATAATTAATTGCGCGGTATAGGTGTGAACAACATAAACAACAATACTCTTTTCTCATTTATAATATTACTTTTTGATAAAATCAACAGGTTTAATAAATTATTAAGTATGTTGTCTTGTTTCTTGGAATTTATTAAATCTATTAATAATTTTTGATAATTTTTATTAAATAATTTTAATAGTTTGTCAATCAAATTACAATAATTGATATCAATCAATTTATAATCAATTGATATTAATCAATTTACAATCAATTGATATTAGTGACATGAAAATAAATCTTTATTACACTCCTAAACATGCAATAAAACAAATTACATAAGTATATTAAACTTTTCTATTAGTCTATTCAGTCAGATAAAATAAAACCATCAACCCCTATTTTCCAATAGCGATTTTAAATTTATGTTTGCGGGGTCAGCTAGTATAACTATAATAGCATTGACATCCATATTGTAAAATAAACAAGGCATAATAATTCACACAGTTTTGATATGACCTTTTGAAGATTCTACGAATGTGGGAAATCTTATTCAAATATCCAAACCCAAATTGCTGCAAATGAGTTTCTGACTCAGATATCTGATATTGTTCACTGTGGTCTGTGCCATGACCTTATATGTATGAATTCTACTCTCCTATCTCTGGAACTAATTTATACAATAATTTTCTTATTAATAATAAATTATTACTGTAGCTATTAATATTTACAATGTACTTAAATTTATATAGATATGAATATGTAATGTATGTGTGTAATGTAATGTTAATGATGATTAATAATGTATTATAAATATATAGGTATATATATTTTCAGGATGACTGCAATACATATTATACAAATGTTATTTTCATGTTAATATTAGTGTCCTCTATTTGAATGCTACGATATTATATAATACATATAAAATAACCCCAATCATAGTCATACTAATATTATAAATATTATTACATTTGCACTAACTGGTCGAAGAGATATAAATGAAATTTTATCTTAAAGTAAATGGTATTATATATCACAAGCACACAGACTTTCTTTTATCTCATAAAATTAGACGACCCGACGTCGCGTGTAACATCTAGTTATTTATAATAACGTGAAATATGTAATGGTCATAATATTTCATATCGTATTGGTTTTTATTACATTATTTTTAGATATGTACAGAAAAATTGAAAACATCCCAATATGTAATTAAATTGATTTGTAGGATTATTTTAATTGTTATAGAAGAAGATAAACCTTTTATAATCATTACTATTTTGTAATTTTGTTAACTATTAGGTATGATTTATATTTTAAATATTAACGAAAGAAACCTAAAAAAAATTTAGTATTTTTGAGTCTTGTCGGAGTTCTAGTTCTCAAACTATTATATTTGGCTCTTCTTTGTTTTTGCTGTTTGTGTGTTCATCTTTTGAACTTGTTGACATATTGAACTTAATTCGCACAGCGAATTTTTCTCTACTGGTTTTACCGTGACTACGCATAAAGCTTAGTATAGGTATATGTTAATTAATGTTATGTAAACAAAAATTAATGAGTGATAGACAGAGAAATCATGAATCTAAAATATATAGAAAGAGTATGGTGTCTTCCCTACTAGAAACGTAGAAAAGACGACTACGAACTGTATACAGAAGATAGTAAGCAATTCTATTTAAAATGAATTGTAAAAGTGTAGATATTATATTTTAACTAATCACCGCGCTACATGTAGGTAAAATAAAACAAATCAAAAATAAATTAATAGTACGACATTTTACTTACCAAAAACCCAAGTTTTTTATATTAATATTTTTATCTGCTATTTTTACATTTTTCTGTCATAATAATAAGTCATAATAAAGTATATTTAAATATATACATAAATAATAATGATATAAATATTTAATATACAGTAGAGAACCGATAATCCGGCCCTCAGAGATACGAATTTGCGATTATCTGGAATACCAATCACAGTCAAAAATATATAAAAATTGTTGATAAGTGTATGTACTTTTGTTCTGAATTAATACCTCGCGCATCGGACAATATGTCATTTGTTTATTACGAATTGAATAAAAAGAATCTTTATTCAGATAAAGTCAATTGCACTTTTGAATACTCGCACTTTTTTAATCTATTACTCTTTCGGAATATCTCAAAATATCTCAGCAAAATAAGAACAAGCAATATTTCCGATGTTAAACATAGCGTATTAAACGAATGTAAAACTATAATGTAACTAACATAACTCAATAACCTCGGCCATGAGAAGCTACTATTACAACAATAAAAACGAATGTTACTTAAATTATATCTACGATTTCATTGTTGATATTACTCATCAAGAAAATTTTCATTTCGTTTACATCTATTATGCTACGTACACAGTTCTAGTCCCGTTTTACTTTTGTAAATAGAAACAATAGAGTTATTACAGTAAAAATAGTGATCTTAAAAATGATATGATTTACCTAGTGAAACTGTACTTCGGTAAATATATATACAATCAATAAATATATAAACTCTTCTAAGTATTATATTTCAATTGCCAAGCTTGCTTTGTAACCTTTGTTAATGGTTTTGGAGGGAGATATACCATTGAAATTATAAGGTACATAGGTATCAAAACTTAGTCTTAGGGAATGGCAACACATTAATGATACAAGATTATTGTTATTCATATATAACATAGGGATAGTTGTGACTTTGAGTTTCGACTTTCGATTACTTGAATGACGAGCGTTCATGGCAATAGTTGTTTTTGCACGGGATTTTCATAGACACCTACATATAAGTAAACAATGTAATGAGTGATGTTCTTGCCAGATCTTCTCAATTGAATCTGTATATTGAACTGGACGATAGGGAAAAATTGTCCTACATGATTAAATGATATGATTTGACGGATGTCGGCTTGTTTGACATTTTATTGTATTGTATCTTTAACCTGCTAACTCGGCTCAAGATTGGAAAGTTAAATGTTTACGTACACATTTACGTACGTCCTTCTCTAAATGTATGATACAACTTTCAGTACCTATATTTCTGTAAACCACTCAGGGTATGATAAAGGTAATATACCTAAAAGCCCTTTAGATCAAATATCGTCTTATACATAAAAATCTCGTCTGTGTAAACCTTAGTCTCAGTTATTTCAGACGTCAAACAGCTTGCTTTGTAAGCTGTATTTTTATTGCAGTGGTAGATTACGTAGTGGATTTACAGGATAAGAAACATGATATAGTCGTCTAGATTTGCAATGCAGAAGTCGTATGGTGTTGTGTCACATGATAACATTATGTCCGTAGTGCTGTTCAGGTAACAGCCACTTGACACTGGAGAAGCTGATGGCCCATCTAATGGTATTCACCATCAAGTGGGCCGTTAGCTTCTTTGCCATTTGATTACATAAAGAATATAGTATAATAAAACAGTGTTACACCAATTTTAATTGTTGTTTTTATATTTGGTAGGCCTAAGAATAGGTCACAGTCTTTATATTCTAGGTGATAAGTGTGGCTCTATCTATTAATTTTCTTTACTTGAAATAATTTATATACATAAGCTTACATCATACTTGAGGGTTAACATAAAGTTTCTGTTTCAGACACGCGTCGGACGCCGTATAATAAAAGAGTTCCGCGAGAATCCATCGAATGAGTCGCTAGAACTTGGCCATGACGTGACGTTCAAAGAGTTCGCGCTGTTCCTCACGAACAGCTCCGAGGAGTTGGCGGACGTGGTCAACAATGAACACTGGCAGCCCATCACCAACCTGTGCCATCCGTGCCTTATAAAGTACACTCTAGTTGGTAAGTTGTCCGGTAATTACATAATTCTATATGGACTAGTGTAGTGATCGCTCAGTAAGTCAAATTAGAAGTTTGAACATTATTAAGGTTGTATTGTCAAAGACTATAGACAAATAATATGAATGACAAACAATATTAATCTATTTTCAATTTGACCACAGACTGTAACTATAAACAAAAGAGTATATGCGTGTGTTGTATTTGAGACAAATACATATGTAATACTTTTTTTATTGAGTTGTGTTATGTTTTTGTTGGTGTTTGAAATTTCATACTTTTCCGTCCGCGCAATATTCGTAAAGACTACAATGTTTATGCTTCACGTATTAATATACAGATTAATTGAAATCAATTGACAATTGACGGTGTGTGTACGCGCTTCACTTGGAACGATGCAGTTATTTGTGTTATATGACGTTCTTTTTTGTTGTAAGTATCCTAGATCACATATATGAGGCCATCACATTACGTCAAGCGTTAAATGAGCGACAAACATTTCATGACTTCACATTTCAAAATGTAGTTAATCTAAGTTTTCTTTTTATACTACTATGGTGACAAACAAGTATACAGTCCATATGATGGTAAATGGTTACCGTAGCCTGTAGATGTCTGAAACACAGGGTGTCACGTGCGCGTTGCCTAGTATTAAAACACGTAATTTGAACTGTCAACGAAACACCTAAAATATGTCTATACCCCTCCCGTTGTTACATCACATATGTCGTACTAGGGAGGGAGTCTCACAAATGTGATGAGTTAAAAACGGTTAATAAATCATGACATTTGGTTATCATTCATACTCCTAAGATACTTACTACCCGCAATCACGCGGGCAGAAACGCGGTATGAGGATTGTGTGCAGTAAATAATACAGCGATATATAAATCATTTAGTCGAACAGCGAGAGACACTATGACCATTATATCACCCTCACAGATAACCCCACGCTTCCTTTTTATGTCAACATTTAAGGTCAACGATAGTCGATCAAGTAGGTTAGATAGCTGCCAGTTTAAAAGTTCCACATTTTTTTTGAAAGAAAGAAAGAAAGAAAGAAAGAAAGAAAGAAAATTGTTTAATTGGTACACTGAAAATAATTTTTAAAATTAAGTTTACATTTTATATTAATAATTAGAGTACCAACTAGGTCTCCGCTCAGCATATGTCGTGACGGGGTGCCACGACGCTGGTTTTCAGCGGACACCTTATATACAATAAATATAATAAAATAATAATAATAATACACATACATACATAAATCCAGGCGGACAACACAAAGCAAACATTTACGACATAATACCATATATAAATAAAAACCAAACATAAACTACACACTGAAAACATAAAATAAACATAAACATAAATTCTGGTGATACTAGGATACCCTGCATTACCCCGCTCTTGGAGTGCAGACACATCACGGCACAGTTTTCTGAGTGAGGAGGAGTATTTTTTTAAATTTATTTTTAAAAATCTGCACAGTTAAGGAATCTTTTATAGGAGGAGGTATATTATTCCAGCAATTCGTAGCAGAATAGCGAAAACTACCACGAAACGCTGCCGTTCTATGTGAGGGGCACATCAAATGAACGCCGCGTGAATGACGACTACTGAAATTCATTTTTTCGTAAAGATATTCGGGAATCTTTTTTTTTTACAACTTCAAATAGTAAGCTGGCAAAGTGTAGTTTACGCCGTGTTTCCATACTCATAAGGTCTTTACTATTTAAATATGGTGATACGTGGGCTCTGCGAGGTATCGGAAAACAAAATCTTGCACAAGAATTTTGAACGCGCTGTATAATCTTTTAGTAGTTCCATTTCATTTAAAAGTCTGAAATGAAGTGTACAATACGAAGAAGACTTGAATTGCGGATTAGGTGGATATTAAATTTCAGATAGTTTTGTCAAACTCAAATTGTCAGTGCGATCAATATTATTTGGAAATACCGCCGCACATCGTCATTCCTAGCTCTTTTTGTGCATTAATTATTCTCTTGTAACCTCAAATGGGTTGAAGCTAAAAATCAATCTTCCGCACTGAGATCTAATATATAATAGTTTCCTGGTACTGAACAAGTAGTCACTAACCTAACCAAAAGCATTACTAAGTTCATCAGAAAACAAATTGAAGTTTCAGACAATATTTCAAATTTCGTCACATACATATATTTGTCATTTATTAACAAACCCCTTGATTCTGCAAAAGTTTTACAACAAGTCTAGAATTCCAAGAACAACCATTTGCATATTTTTAAACACAAAACAGATTGCTGGCGCCAGCCGTCTAATACAAATAAATAAGATCTTTTTGATTAACTTAAAAATCATGAATGAAGTAATCCAGATAACAGACCTGAAACATACCGCATCTAAACAAATTAACTATATTGATGTACCATGTAATAAAAAATATGAATTATGAAACATAAATAATCTTTAATTAATCTGTTATAAATCTTGAGAAGTAAAATAAGTATTCCGCGGTATTACCCGCGTGATTTTGCGTGAAAAGTAAAAAATGTTCTATCTGTGTATTAAACCGTCCACAAGTTATAATTTTGAAACAAACATCCTTTATAATTTGACAGAAAATCCAGACGTTGCTAGACTTAAATAGTGATCGCTCGTAATAGCATATGACATACGCATTGTCTCGGTTAGACCTTGACCGATGAACCAATTAGTATTTTATATTCACAAGTCTATTGTTGACAGCATTTAGCTGCCAAGCTAAATTCATAATATTGAAGTATTGAAACACGAAATGTCTTGATACCTGATTGGCCAGGGAATTTATTCGGAATTTATCAATTTTGGACCTCGGGGAGATAAAGTTGTTGAATCCCTACACAGCTCTAGAGAAACACTCATCACAAGCTGCAGCCGATAGTTGTTATTTCAGTTGTTAATCGTGGTGTATGTGGAGTGTATCCAAATATTTGTGCCTAACAGACCGGCCCTACCGATTGGATGCCAAGTAGTCGATGACCATAGAATTTTTAATATATTTTTAGACAAGCTCTGCACATGACTTCGAATTTGTAGGAAAATGTATAAAAATCTCTACCTATTTCCTCCAGCCGTTTTACGCGAAACCAAAGCAACAGACAAATAGCCAATTTTCGCGTTACCACTATTTATTAAATAATAATATTTGGTCACCAACTCATTAGGTAAGCATGGTCGAATACCATGTGACCTGCGCAGTAACAATTTTACATACAAAGGCTAAAAATCCACTGCGCAATCTGCATTTTTGTAGTTTAGTCCAAATTGCTAGGCGTAAACTTTGCAGTTAATCAAATAAATACTCCGGAATTTCCCAACGCATTTGTACTTCCAAACAGAATAGTGGGTGATCAGATTGATAGTTGGTAGCTAATCAAAATTATTCTACATTTTATATTTCAAATTTTTAGTAGAGTAGAGTAGTTCTGTTTTACTACAATTTTGTTGTCATCCTATGTTCCGTTATCTGAAATTGTCAAAAAGAAAACGTCAGACAATGCCGTATTGCATTAAGCTGTATAGGTAAAAAATATATATATACCAAATGCATATCTACTATTCGGAGCAAACCGGACAATGGTGTGTTACGCAATGGCAATCCTAAATATGACTATAGATATTACGAGTATGTTCCCGATAAATTAAAGAAATTAGAGCGCCTGTCTGTTTAAATTATTCAGAGATTGCGATGCATAGGACATCCATGAGCTTATAAATTTGTCTTGTGAAATCGTATTTCGTTTTTGTATTATTATAAATAACTGTTTTTTATAAAAAAAAGTAATAATTTTGTTTCTAAATAATTACGTTATTTTTCTTGTATATACAGTCATTATTAAATAAATATTTATCCACAGTAACAATTAGTATATGTTGTACTTTCTTTTTAAAATTATCGATTATTTGTCTGTACACGCTGGTCTCCAGAAATGATTTATCCGATTTGAATCCTGTTCTCTTAACGATGTGTTGTACGAAGCTTCCCGTAATATTTTGCGTTCGTTTTGTTTCAATTAGTTTACAAACAAAATATTATAACTTTTTGTAATTCTGAATATCACTTGTATGAAGTAGCAGACACAGATAATTAATATGAGTAATACCATATGTATTTATTTCTTGTACATTAATAGGTTTCTTCACAGAACAGACTTCTCTGTGCTGTCATGTAATATCACATTTTTGACAATAAAATACTGATTAAAACAATGATTTCAGTTTCAACAAACTTCTTCACTATATTCAGTTTTGACTTCATTTACATATTTATTCACAAACCGGTGCCACTTACGTCACTGTGCTTCTTTATACATACTTGTAGCTTCCTTGACCGGATAACATATCGACATCTACGTATTGTTAGGTTTAAACACTTAACACTTTAGGATGTGGTACTTTAAGGAAATGCGATTATGACGACCTCGGTCTATGCAAACATTTATATACATTGATATAACTGTCTTAATCTGATTTTCTATGTATATGTTACTTGCCCAATATTTGGACTAACCAGTTTGTGCTGATGATTATCGACCACAGATAGATTTTGTTCTTCTATTTGGGTATATCTGTCTCTTCAATTTCAGTTGTAAAACAGTGTTCCGGTTAGAGGATGAGCCAATAATAAATCATAATAATGTTTTTGTAGAAATTTGTAGAAATATCTAACTTAAAATTCATAGCGCTGACAATGTTATCTGATTGAACAGAGATTAAGTGCGTAGCGGTTTTTATGTTGATTGTCGCATGCCTAATCCTTGTAATAACAATTAAACACAACAACAACAATTAAATATAAGTAAATCAATATTTATTTAAAAGAGCAACACACAAGTTTCTTACTTATTCTTCTTGTGATGAATCTGCATTCCGAATAAGCGGTAGAATAAAAAAACTTGACTATTCAAAAGTGCTTATATTAAGTTTCTTTGAATAAAGATTATTTCTATTTCTATTTTTATTAAAACTGCAGGGTACAGAGGCATATAAAATTCTAGTCTTCCGGAATGACAACGCATTTCGGCTATATTTGTAACAGGCCTCATAGATATATAGGCGACAGTTGCACCACTAGGTAGGTCGTTATCTTTTTTATCATTAGAATTACATAAAGAATATCTATATCGGATAGATTGTCCTGGACTAAAATAATATGATACACTTAGGTTGATACGATTTTGTTTAGAAGAGAAGGGATAGACTAGGCATGACTCATACCAAAAACTTAAGTGGCAGAGAATGAATACCTAAATGAATGACTGTGCGATACAACGGCATGGCACCTAAGCGGGCGTCGCATGAGAACATGATGTTCTTAGTACTATTCATGTGCATAGGTTACCAGATACCATCAGGTTGTTTATGATTCCAATAACAAAAGAATTGATTACTATATTTTCTTTGTAGGTAAGTACGAGACGCTATTGGAGGATTCTCTTTTAGCTCTCAACACTATCAACGCTGGATCCATCAGGTTCCCGCAGCTTACCCACACATCAGGCACATCTGACAAACTATACAGGTACTTCTCTCAGCTGGACCTGCCTCTCATCAGGAAACTGTACAAGTTGTACATTAACGATTACAGGATATTCGGCTACGATCTAGATAACATAGTGGGGTTCGATTTAGGTTAATATAATTTTATAATCTTACCGGATTTATGCATTTATATTTATTTTTATAAACGAATTACAATGTAGTATATCGTTTAGTCAGGTTTAATAGTGCCAGTACTAAATTTAAGGTGCAATTATTGTAATATAATAGGTACAAGAATGTTGTTTTAGTTGTCTTTTTATATAGAAAATACATGAGGTAGTATTTGGCATACATTTAGTGTAAAAACTAAGAAACCGATAATTTCAATTTATTGTGTCGTTGTTAACGATAACAAAATATAAAGTAAGCAATTAAAGTTGTCAGAATAAAGTAATAATTATTAAACATTATTTTACTCATACATATAGAATCTAAAGGAAAAACAGATCAATTTTATAAAAATAATATAAAACGATGATCGAAGGTTTGTCGCAAAGTTGTTGCCCAATAATTAATTTAACCTTTTTTAGTTTTAGTCAATCGGAAATATACTTTTATGGTGTATCTCCATTTTTTGTTTCGTTTAATTATACATACTTAAACAACTGCCACATGATCAAGTAACAAAATATATTTTGTATAATTAATTTACATATATATCTTTATTATTTCAAATAAATTAATCGTATTAAGATTACGAATATCAAAAGTTAAATCCCTTATACAAAGTACATTTACTGTATCAAGTATTTATTTATGTTGTTTATTATGTTATACATTAGATGCATAATGATAGTCTTATCATGTAATCAAATAATAAACAAAATCAACCATACACTGCCAGTACAAAAATTAGTATTGTTAGCATTTTTTATAAGATGGTTTTCTTAATAATTTTGACGGCTTCCATGGTATAGCGGTTTAGCACAATGCTTTACGTTCGATGGACGCAGGTTCGATTCCTCGCACGGTACAAACATTTATATTCATGATTGTTTTCTATGTATATTATGTATATATGTACAAAAAAAAGTATTTATATCAGTTCTCTAGTACCCATAACACTAACTGTGTTAATTATCCAGGCTTATTTATTTATTTTATTATTTTCTAACAGTCCGGTAAACAGCATAAACCTTTACACAATTTCTTGTTTTGTATATTTAAGTAAATTTTATTTTTACATTACATATTGATTTTGTATGACATAGGTTAGTCGTAATTAGTATGACAAATCGTATAACTTACGAATGAAATACTTGTAATTTGAAGACCGATTGTATAGAAATCTTAAAAAATATGTGAATATATTTCTCTCAGTATCCTGAATAGGTAATATTACTGACTTGTCATACCCATTATGTATAACCTTATAATTTAAAGGAATCTAATTGAAATGAAATCGGAATTACATCTAATAGTCTTTCAATGACGTTTTTAGATCGAATTTGCTGTTTGGGTGATATTGAAAACTTTTTACAAGTATATATATTTTTTATATTAATTTTAAATCAAAATTAAGTTTGAATTAATCCTTAACAACAATTCTTTTTTTCGATTTCATTTTTACGATATATTTAAAATTATTTCAGCTGTGTCAGTGTGCTTGGTTTATAATTCTTAGGTTGGTGTACATATATATATATGAATGTGTAAGTTTAGTATACACTTCAATTTGAAATGATTTTTAAATTAATAAAATACCGCGACTACGGTACAATTGTAAATCGTCAACTAATGATGGTGATATTTCATCATCATCATTAGATGACCATCGGCTATTGATGGACAATAAATAATGAATCTATACTATATAATTATTAGGCGGTGTAATAAAAAATTAAATTAAGTAATTATCGCCCCCTTTGTGGGAAAGGGACAGACATATAAAAGATGTATATAATGAAGAAAATTTATTTAAAATATTTTCGTCTTACCACGATTTTTCGATTTTATTATATGTAAAGATAATATAATTTTTATTCATATTGAAGTGATTTACTATTCCATTTCTATATATAATTATTTATTTCGATATATAATTAAAACTTGGAATGTATAATTATGGTATATTTATAGTAAATTGTACACGATATAAGTATTTAATAAGTACTACCTTCGGGGAATATGGGATTTATCTAGAAACTTTTTATTTATGGAATAAAAAGTTTTTATTAAATTACCTAATTTAATTGATTATGTTGTAAGAATTTTATATAAATATTGGATACATGTGACGTCACGTGTACATATTACAGATTTTTCGTATGTATGACGGTACATACAATTTATTTTTGTACCTATATACGACTCTCCGATATGAATCTTCTTAAGGTTGTAATGTATTATAGATAGAATTACAAACCAACGTTCATATAAATAAATTAATATTACCGCAACCTTATATTTAAGACGTTGTAGTTTTTGTACGCGTACTATAAACAAAATTAGTGCATTCATTCCTGGGTTGTACTTAGATAAGTAAACGTAACATAAACAATTATTGAGATTGATAACAAACATTGAGTTTCATGACGTCATATACTAATAATTACATATTAAAAAGTAAAAGAAAGTTATTTAATATATAATTTTACTAGATGTGCCCGCGGTTTCACCGCGTTATATTTATAACCTATATGTTCTGATGTGTAAGCTACATTACTGTAAGTTTCGACAAAATCCGCTCAGTAGTTTTTTGCGTGAAACAAACATCCATCCATATTGATAAAATTTCGCGTTTATATTATTAATATCTTATTAATATTATAAACGCGAAATTTTGTGAGCGTTTACTCATTAATATAAAATAATATATTTTATTATATTCTTCCTGTTAGTACGCTTGCGCTACAACCAGTGTGCGAATGCGCTTAGATCTAAAACTATTTTTTTAACCTCCGTACAATATTATAAATATTATTGGTGGTGTTCCAAAGTTTTCTGTGATAATAATAGGAGTAACAATGGATTAATGAATGCAATATATTTTGTTCAAAATTTTGTCACTAATTAGCTCGTGTTGATATTCGTATTGAAATCGTTATCAATGTACTTATACCAAGTTATAGATAAGTTATCAAAGTACATGTATTGTTGTTCATCTCGTATTACTGATGCAATAATTATATTAATTTAAATTTATATATTTCTTTTATTTTTTTTATTCCCTAATCTTTGTTTACGACCTTAAACTCAGTATATTGAGGAGAATCCGCCATGCAGTGGAATGTATATACATTGATATATACGAAACATTCATTATTATTACCTTAAATTACTTAAATTCTATTCGCTTTTACTCATAGCTTACAATCTTCTGTGCGCACCGCACTGTAAAATTAATGCACCTCGCTGTAGGTGTAATTACAATTATAATAATTTTATGAATGTCTGTAGCATGGTAAGTAAAAGTAAAAGCTAATATATAACATTTTTATCCTCTTGAACGGCATATAGAAAACAACAAGCATCACAATGTGTCCAAAAATGAAATAGCTAACAACCTTACGATATAACCTTTTTTTTTACTTGCTTTGCTTTGCTATGCATTACATTGCTCGTGGAGACCCGCCCACCCCAGGAGAGACAAGCGGATGCAGTGAGACTCAATAAAAACTCCAAGCTATCCCGACGAAGCGCCAATATATGCATAACTAAGTTATGTCGACAATCAGGTTGTCATTCCGAAGTTGATCTGTCCTTAATTGTTACTAAACAACCGGTAGCTGTCGGGGGCAGGGGATTGTAATGCGGACTCATGACCCTATTACTAGCAATGTACCATGTCACGTTGACCTCCACGCGATTTCCCCTGGAAACCATCGTGATAAATTCCTGGTGAATTTGTACCCCGCCAGCGTAAACCGGTAGCTGTCTCTAGCTAGCTCTGAGGATTAGCCATTTGACGTCTCTATGCGAATATACGGTATTGTCATTTCACTGCCTTATCTCAACTTTAATCGTAAAACATGTTACAAAGCAAGTTGCTTGACGAATGAAATATACGAGTACACAGAGATATCCTCGGTCTCTCTACCTCGCTTCTGTTCCGTGAGTGACGTTCGATTTTCAATTTATATAATTTTATTTTTAATTACAAAATTTAGCTATTTGCATTCACAAACAGTCACATATCCAGTAATTTCGTAACAATCTCTCACCCTTTAAAGCAGTGTCTACATAATTAGTAAGTACTTGATGTACCTTATTGACACGTGGATTGTGAGAGATGGAGTAGAATTAAGGTAAATAAAATTTTCTCTAAAAACAGAAGGCACTCGGTTATCTCTGCTACCTCTAAGAGATCTGGCTTGAAGATATATAGATATAGAATACCTAATGACATTACAAAGTCCATTTCTGCATCCACTCTTCAGCATATTTTGACACTGTAATCTAATGATGTATAATAATTAGGCACTTTTATATAAATAGAAAATAGAATTTGGACTTTGGCCGCCCTTAATTAATTTTTCTATAATTACCTACTATGGCTTTTTCGTATAACGTATGACGCTCTTATTAAATTATTTGCATTGTACGCAAAATTATGTATGAAATGATGTAATTCAATACTAACCTGTTTCGATGAACTTGGTAGGTACAGTAATTTATACATATCTAAGCAAAAAATGGTACCTACTTGTATAGTGCCTCTTAGATTAGATAATGGACCAACTGATTGAAAATAGTGATCGTTGGTCAGATAAAGTACTCTATGATAACGTAAATGGATATGAAATATAAACGGCATTATAAACACCTGATCAATATTTCAGAATACGCTATGACGTCATTTGTAGCAGAGCGTTATCACCAAAGAAATCTCACGTTATGTTTTATTCATAAGATACTAATATTAGGTATATATGAAAATACGAGAGTGTAACTATCTCTCCGTTTGGTTACCTTTTCACGACTTAACGTCTGAACCAGTATAAAAGAAATTTGACCTGAATGAATATATTTTGAATAAAAACTATAAACGTATATAATATACATTTATAATTTTTGTTCAATCCACAATATAAGATTGCGTGGTTGGAAATTCCTCTGAAACCGCACTGCCGCAGGTTGTGATGGATGATTTCCTTGTAGAGGCGAGCGGTGTGATGGTAGAAGGTAGCTATATTATATACAATCCGTTGTATATTCGGTAGAATACAGAAACCTAGGCGAAGTCACGTCCCAAACTCCTTACTCTCGGACGAGACTTCGCCTTTGTATCGAGTCCATTGCCTCGATAACTCTTGTATTGTACGGGGATCGAACTTGTGATCACCAGACGATGAACGTTTCCACTGTTCTAAACATAATGGGACATGTATAGATGCTATATAATCAACGTCACGATTTGTACTACGTTAAAAAAATAGCTATTGAATAATATTAACTAAGAGATTTAATACACTGAGAAAATAGAATAATAGAATGGGAAACAAACTGATGGCTCATCTAATAGTAGCGGTAAGGGAATAAGGGAAAGATGGTGTATTTTATACCTAAATTATTTATTGCAAATCAAAATTAAGAAAAGTAACAAAGTTTTTAATTATCGAGTAACCAACAATTTAATATCAAAAGCGTATAACGTTATTCTACTAGTTGTAGGAAGACATTATTTAAAAAACATGTTTGAGCGGCGTTGTCCCTGACTATGGGTAATGCCGCTCAGGGTAGGTACGGGGTAATGTCTAATAACCAGTAAAATATATTAATTAAAGAAATATTCATAAGGTCATACTTAAAAGTAAAATCTACAATCCCCAATTATCCTAATTTCTACATAAAATTAGCCTTTTTCAATTAAATAAATATAGGCTTACGTGTCAAATCAATTTCAATTATTCCAATATAATATAAAATAATAATAAATGTTAGAGGTAAGATAAATTAGAAATAAAAATATTTTATCCTTGGATACATAAATCACATATGTATCTATCTGCGAATCCCACCCTGAACATGTAGCACGAGCCCATAGTCCGCAGATGGTGCAGCGATACCAGAATTCATATTTTTTCCAAATTCCTGTTAAATAATACATTTACTATAATTTATGTCATCCACATTCATTTTGTCGTCACTGTCATCGTCGCAAAGGATCTCTTTATCTTCATTATCTTATAGAAGAAATTTCATGTAAATTTTTCTTTTAAGATTTTATATCACTTTTTTTT